CTCTCGAGCGTGAAACGCCTCGGTGTCTTCGGCTCAACGCACTCCTTGATACGTTGTACTTATCAGCATATTGCTGGTATACAATTTTATCTCCAAGCTCTCCCGATTCGATTGCTGCTAACGCTTTGTCAATAGCTGCCATGCTGGTTGAGTTATGACGCGTTGAAGTTTGTAGGTGTTTCAGTGTTTTGGTGTTCGGCGTGCGCGCTGCGAATCCGTGCGCGTGATGCGCGGATTCGCGTGATGCGCGGGGAACACCAAAACACGTCAAACCCCTTCACCTTCAACACACGTTAACTCCACCAATATGGACCCAATTCAAGCTGCGATTGAAGATATTGAAAATCTAGAGCCAGGAGAACAGTTCTCGTATACTAAAATTGCTGCTAAGCATGGTGTTGTGAGATCTACGTTGACCCGAAGGCACCAGGGCCAGACAAGCTCAGAAAGAGACAAGAACTTCAACCAGCAGAAACTCAACCCACAACAAGAGCTAGAGCTTGTGAGATATATCGAAAAGCTCACAAAGCGAGGCATTCCTCCTACACGAGAGATGATCAGGAATTTCTCATCAGAAGTAGCCCATCAGCAGCTCAGCGAGAGCTGGGTTACTCGCTTCATCAACCGACACGAGATCCATCTCATCTCAAAGTGGACCAGCGCCATGGATCGTACGCGCCACCTGGCTGATTCTGAGTCAAAGTATAGACTCTACTTCGAGCTGCTGCATCGAAAGATCACCGAATATCACCTAGAGGCTCGAGATATATACAATATGGATGAGAAGGGCTTCTTAATTGGCTTGATAGGCAGAAGTAAGAGGATATTCAGCAGGCGTCAATGGGAGAAGAAGGAGGTTCGAGCATCTCTCCAGGATGGATCACGCGAGTTTCTGACAGTCCTGGCCTGCTGCTGCGCTGATGGGAGCTCGCTGCCTCCAGCCCTTATCTACGCAGCTAAAAATGGAGCTATACGATCGAGTTGGGTAGAAGATATCAAGGCAGGAGAACATGAGGTCTTTGTCTCATCATCTCCAACAGGCTGGTCAAATGATAACGTAGGCCTAGCTTGGCTGGAGCAGGTGTTTGATCGCTCTACAAAGCAACGATCAGGTAGATGGAGATTGCTCATCCTTGATGGCCATGGATCTCACCTCACGATGGAGTTTATTAAGTACTGCGATCGCCATAGGATCCTCCTCATGATCCTTCCTCCCCATTCGACCCATACGCTCCAGCCGCTAGATGTAGTGCTGTTCAAGCCACTCTCTCAAGCCTACTCTAACGAGCTCACTAACCATCTCCATAAGGCTCAAGGCCTTATTCCAATCAAGAAAGGGGACTTCTTCCCGCTCTTCTGGAGCGCCTGGATATCCTCCTTCACAGAGAGCCTCATATTGAAGGCCTTCGAAGCCACTGGGATCTGGCCGATGGATGCCAACGTTATCCTTCGTAGATTTGCTAGCACGCCAGAAGCTGAGAGAAGCTCATCGTCAGGGCTCTCTGATCATGACTGGAGAAAGCTCGATCGGCTAGTACGAGCTGCTGTTAATGATAGCCATCAGTATGAGGCAAGAAAGCTGCGCTCAAGCGTTCACCATCTCTCTGTGCAGTATGAGCTTTTAAAGCATGAGAACGAGGGCTTAAAGGAGGCTCTTCAACATAAAAAGAAGCACAGGAAGAAGGGCAAAGCTCTTGACCTTCAACAGCGCCAGGAGTATCACGGTGGCTCTGTCTTCTGGTCTCCTCGCAAGCTGCGTGAGGCTCGAGCTAGAGAAGCAGTACGGGAGCGAGATGAGACGGAGGAGAAACTCCAAAAAGCACGGTCCAAGAAGCAGCGCGAGGAGGCTCGACTGCAGCGTCAAGATGAGCTCGAGGAGAGGCGTGTGGAGAGGCAGAGACTCAAGGAGATGAGGGAGCTTGAGCGAGCTGAGAAAGCAGCTGAACGCGCGCGCCAGAAGGAGGAGAGAGACGCTGCTAAAGCTATACAACTACCCCAAAAGGGAAAGAGGAGAGCTTCAGCAGCTACCTCATCGAACAACAAGCGTCAAAAACGCGTTGAGGCTGCTCGCGCTGGTGCTCAAGTTCAAGAAGAGCCTCCAGCTCCTCCATCAAAGCTCACATCACGTGGCCGCAACGTCAACCTCCCATCAAAATATAGATAGTACAAGTTGATCGCAAGCATCTAATTACTCCCCCTCTATAAATTCGTATAATAACAGCTTATATACGTGGCTTAATAGCTTCATTTTTGAAGTAGTGGATATGGTGTTCCCCGCGCATCACGCGCACGGACACGTTAACGTGTCTGTGCGCGTGATGCCCATAATCGCGTGCCGCACACCCCGCAACATCAACACCAATCCACCCTTACCACTTCAACCACCCATAACTCCACAACTATGAGTTGTATCAACGCTGTGATTGAAGCTATTGAATCGCGTGATCCCGGAGATAAATTTACATACTCTGAGGTTGCGCGCCGCTTTGGTGTTGATCGCTCTACGTTGTCGCGACGCCATCAACAGATCCGGGGCTCAAATGAAGCCAAATCACGTAATCAGCAACTCCTTTACCTACACTAGGAGCTACAGCTTCTAGAGCACATTAATGAGCTTACTAAGGCTGGCTTACCACCGACGAGGACTATAATCTAGAACTTTGCTAGTGCTATAGCCGGAAGGGCTGCCTCCTAAAGCTAGGTGACGCGCTTCTTTCACCGTCATCCCGACGCGATTATATCACGTTGGTCAACTGGTTTGGACCGCAATCGCCACCAGGCTGATTCTGTATACAAGTACGAGTCGTACTTTGATCTACTATCTACTAAAATGGCTCAGCACTATATTCGGGCGCAGGATGTATATAATATAGATAAGAAGGGATTCCTTATTAGAGTAACGGGGAGGAGTAAGAGAGTGTTTAGTAAGCAGAAATATGAGACTGGGGGCTTTAAGAAAGTGATACAGGACGGCAACAGAGATTGGATCACTGTTATCGCTGCTATATGTGCTAATAGGAGTACGTTACCGCCCGCGATTATATACGAAGCTACTTCGGGCAACATGTACGCCAGATAGGTTGATGATATCGCAATTGACGATCTAGTCTACGTTACCTCAAGTCCCTCAGGGTGGACCAATGATTAGGTAGGCCTGGCATGGCTCGAACAGGTGTTTGATCGCCATACGAAGGAGAAGGCCGGCAATCACACACGCTTACTCATCCTTGACGGCTATGGGAGTCACGTTACTATGGAGTTTATTGACTACGCGATCGCCCACAATATTATGTTACTCGTACTACCCCCCCATAGTACCCATACGCTGCAGCCACTCGATGTGGTAATGTTCAAACCTCTAGCAGCCGCGTACTCACTCAGCTTGCAGCACTACCTCCAGGCGAGCCACGGTCTCTTAGCTGTGAGGAAGGATGACTTCTACCGTCTTTTTAAGCCTGCCTAGGACTCCTCTTTTATTAAGAAGCACGCGTTGAAGGCATTTAAAGCCACTGGGATAGCTCCTATAGATCCCGAAGTAGTACTTAAAAAGTTCCGAAAGTCAACACTAACAGCACCGCCGCCACTAGTGAACGTGAGTAGAGCTACTATCACGAACCTCATTAATCAGGCCTACGATCCGAGCTCTATTGCGGCCAACAACCTCTCAGAAATACTCCTCCGCCTCCAGGCTGCCAAAGAGATCGCCGAGTACGAGAAGGACGCACTGCGCGCGGCGCTACACGTTCACCAGAAGCCCCGCAATCGGCACGAACCTCCCCTAGATCTACAGCAGCGAAAAGCGTTCTATTCAGGGGCAGTTTAGTGGTCGCCGTGCAAGCTTCGAGAGGCCCGCTTTAGGCAGCTAGTGAAGGAGAAGGAGAAGGAGAAAGAGCTACTTGATAAGATAGAGTTGAAAGAGGCAAAGGAGAACAACAGGATCTATCAACTTAAGATCAAAGAGGCAGCGCGGGCGGCGCGTGAGGAGGCAAAGAAGGTGCGGGATGAAGCCAAGGCTGTAAAGGCTGCCGAACTTGACGCCAAACGACGCGATCGCGACGCTGCAAAGGCTATACAACAACCCTAGTCGGGCAAGCGTAAGGCTTCAAAGCCCGCTGCAAAGCAACAGCCAAAAAAACGACGCGTGGGTGGTGCTGGCGGTGGTACTCTGGCTGAGGTGGCTGCACCGGCTCCCCCACCAACAACCACCCGACGCGGCCGGGCCGTCAATACTCCGGCAAAATATAGATAGACAAAGTTGTAGAGCTACGTCTATAGATCAATACACCGGAAAATCTCGCGATAATAGTTATTGTACGTGGCTGCGCAGCCTCAACTTTGCCGTCGTCGCGATATTGGTGGGGTGTGCGGCACGCGATTATGGGCATCACGCGCACAGACACGTTAGTGGTTCTCTTTGATCGCGAATTTGCGGCGCCCAACGGGAACTTTTTCGGCTGCACCGAATACGTGCTCTACTGAGTATGTTTATCGATACTGGAACAAATCCGGTCTACTAGGCGCGTATTCGCAAATGGAGATACCGGTACGCGTTCGTCGCAAGACGTGGGGCTTCGGTGACCGCTTGGCGCGAACACAGCCCTGGAGACGCTAAGAACTTCAAACGCACTTCACACATGAGTAAAGTCCATGGCATTCCTAGGCAGATCCCAAGCAGATCGTCTCGCTTTCTCCAACACGTACATACTCCAAATCAAAGTGTCTGGGCTTTTATACTAAAGAAACACCGATATTTTTAGAATTCAAGATTCTGTTTCCTCCATCTATCTGTACTCATTCTAGCCTTCATCCCTTCATTTGTTATGTCAACAATCTCCTTTTTCGCAACATCAAAACGTTCTTCGTGCAACCGATGTAGGAAGCAAAAGTTGCGCTGTCCCGCTAATGACGATGATACAAAAGCTTGCGGAAGGTGTCTCCGCGCGGGTATCCCTTGTGTGACAAGTTACACAAGACCGAGAGGCCGTTCTCAGAAACACAGCATGCCAACAGACAGCACACTATGCGAGTCCGGCTCGGATACCCGGGTAATGCAGGAAACTTCATTACCGACACCAGAAAGCATCCTATCGATAAGCTCGACAAACTTGGGTCCAGCGACAGAAGAGCCGAATGCACAGTCTTGGTCGCTCCTTGATGAACATCATGTGTTCCCTTCATTTCCGGACTTCGACCCCGGAAACATATCGCAGAGTCCGAATGAAAATCTGGAAGGTCTTTGGGATTCATCGCTATACAAAGACCACGACCCCAGTATCTTGGTTGATCTGTGCGGGACCGCTCAGAACGCGCATCCCACAGACACTCCATCTTCGCTGCACGACAGCCAAAAAGCAAACACTGGGAGATACAGCGCCGAAATGCAGCAACAAATTGAAGGCGATATGCAGCTCTCCCAGCTCAACCTCGAACTCTGCCGGCAACTAAACACGCACCTCCACCGGCAAACCACCACATCTGACACCTCGGTGCAAAACTCTTGCCCCAGTATATCCGACGCACTCGGCGGCGTGTTACAGATCACAGAGGCTTATATTCATATCCTACAACACCTCAGTAATAGCGCCGAGCAACATCAGGATAGTACCACTACTACTTCCCCGCCAACTCTCACTTTCCTCTGTGTCCTCAACCTAACGTCATGCTTCTTCCGCATCGTCGACCTCTTCAACATCCTTCTCTCCAATCTTGCCCTCGAATTAATCACGCATTCGCTTTCTTCTTCTCCGTCATCTTCTTCCAGCGCCGCTGCATCCACCCTCCAGATTCTACCTGAGCTTAACCTCGCCGGGCTACCTGTTCACGAAGTCTCGCTTCAAATCAAGATTTTGGTGCTGGCTATAACGCATCATTTCGAGACGATGAAGTGGTTGCTGGGGATGCCGGCGGAGCTGAGGGTGTCTGAGTGCGGCAACGATAATATCTATGGATTGTTGAGTGCGAGTTGGACGAATATGCTAAGTGCGGGGAAGAGGGAAAGATGTGAGCTGGGGTGGTTTGGGACGGGGAATTGGGTGAGAAGTGTGGAGTCGTTGAGGGTGAATATAGAGGGTTTGACTAGGGTATATTGATCAGACTCCGCAACAATCAATCGGATCGGCATGATTGATTCCTATCTAGGTTAAAGGCTGCCTAATGAAGTAATTCTTTAACCTATATAGGAATCAATCATGTCAATCGATTGATTGTTGCGGAGTCTGATATTGATTCTTACTACGAAGCAAAAGCTATGGGTATTGTATCTAGAAGATGAGTGCCACGATAGCTGTAGATATACATTCCATTTCCCATCATCAGCAGCAGCAGCCCTCATACCCTACATAACCTTCCCTCCCCATCCTGCACCCAGTCCTCACTGCCCACAGCCGAATACGAATAAAACACCCCCCTCGGATCCCATGTCCTCTTCACCTCCCTCAATCTCTCATAAGTACTCCCATAGAACGCTTCCTGCCACTTTGCACTATCTCCCTCTGGATAGACCAATGGATCCGCCTCATTTAAATAAGCACCCCCTCCCACCGTCACCTTTTCGACTGCTGGATGTATCACAGCCGCCAAATCCACCCTGCGCTTCACCATGACATCTTCCGGAACGGTCCAGTTGTAGAGGCTGAATTCTAGACAAATAGCGATGGCAGAGCGCCAGTGCGGGGTTACTGCATTGGAAATGGATGATGAATTGATATTTATGCCGAGGCATCCAAACTGCCAGTTTGCGGCTGGATCGAAAGCGCTCATTGATAGCATTGTGGCGATTAGTTCGGATGGGTCGTCCGAGATGTTGCGGGGAATGAGACGGCTGTTGAAAAGTTGGGATGCCTGATAGGGCCCGTATGGGAGTGGCCCGTCTGTGTCATTGTAATGTTGGAAATAGTTGGGTGCTGAGTACGAAGTATAAGTGTAGGGAATGTTGAGGCGCTTGAGTTCGGATAGATAGGGTAAATACAGCGTGTCCATGTCTGCAGCTGTTCTCCCGGGCGCAGTAGTATTGGGGACGAGGAAGTGACCTGTGTAGACGTTCCAAGAAGGTGTTGCACCCGCATCAACGAGAGAAGGGAGGAATTTCCACCACGCGTTCAGCGCAGATACAAAGGAAGTGTTACTTGGGGCGGATGTGGCGTTGAAGCTTAAACTTGCCGCACCAACGATACCGTCAGGATGCAATCTGGCCGTCATACTTAGTGCAACGGCAAAGGTTCCCCCGCCGCCGCCCGACATGGCCCAGTAAAGATCAGAGTTTTGCTCTGGACTGGCGATGAGATGTCGGCCATCTGCAGTGACGACTTCCCATTCGAGAACGTTGTCTGCGGCGAGACCATGCACGCTGTTGAGTAGACCGTGACCACCGCCAGACGAGTAACCCCCCGCATAACCGACTGTTGGACAATCTCCAGAGACAAGCCTGTATCCAGATTTGCTCGCGTGAGTGAGTGCTTCGCCGCCCGTAACGCCAGCCCCCACTTTGATAGCAGGACCTGCGTAGTGCGTGCTGGTGTAGTTCAAAACTTGCTTGGCCTTTAGATTATGCGTCCAGAGTGAGAGGCCGCCTGTGCCGGTCGACTTTCCCAGCCAATCGTGACCCGTGTTCTTGATGACGAGGCGTACATTGTGCGTCTGCGTGAAGTTGATGGCAGCGACGACGTCGGCGGGGCTCTCCACCGGGACAGCGTAGCTGACAAGTTTGCCTAGCGTGCAGGGTTGATCTGTGCGGTAGTAGGGGCTGCAGGACGTGTTTTGGAAGAAGGGATTCATTATCTCGGATGCCTTAGATAGGCTATGCGATTCTTTCTGTTAGCGGCTTGCTTCCCAAATAGACGCTGAGTGATCAAATGACCAAGCCGCTTACAATGCTTTGGGGTAATCCCATTCCTTTTTTAGTGAGTCGCATGCTGTTTGATTCTGGGAGAGACCCGCATAGCCTCCTGGGTGGCATATAGCCGCCTGGGGAACTGTCTCAATCAGACGACCGCCAATGGTTTGGTTCAACTGACCCCAAGCTTGCTGCGATGGCCAGGTGTTGTCGCCTGGGATGGCTTTGCAGCTAGAGTTGGCAGCTTGTTCCTGTCGACCAAAGACTGCACCTGCATAGACGCCGGGCGCCAGCAGTAACAGGGTCGTGAGGCAGACCATCTAGGAGAGCGATTGAGAGACAATGTTGCTGTATCAAATGCAGCCGCTTCCACCTGACCACAATGTAGCAGGCTCTCCTTCTGAGCAGCTTAAGTATTGCTTACAGATCCGATATCACTCACTCTCCGCTTGTACCTCGTTACACCCCCATGATTCTATGATTTATCATCTCCCCCTGACTACACGAGCTAGGCTTGTTACGTGTACGCCACGGTCGAAAGCGTGGCTGACAGATTGCATGGCAGTCTGTAATCGGCGCGGAATCGCCATCAACTGCCATATGTGGACAATGAACGATCTATTTCCGAGTGCGTCGATACATTCGGTGTCAACTGCTCAATTGGGAAAGTACGCTTTCGGACAGTGCCGAGAAGTGCATGCCACCGAAGTAAACTCCTCATCAAAGCGGCGGTAAGCAGGGCTGAATAAACAGAAAAACGAGCTGTATTCAATTGATCTCCTTACCTTCCTTATTACTACCCGTCTGTATGACAAAAGACTGCGACACATGAGAGTTGGGTGTATCTCGGAATTAAGAGCAATTGTTACATCGAAGTTTTCAGCACGCCATTCATCGACAGCCCCACGGACCGACACCATGGCACCAGCGCAAGCACCGAGCCATGCAAAGAGACCGGAAGCTGGGTCCCAGTCGATGGGAAGCATGTGGACGCAGATGTTTCCACCCAAGCCGACATACACTGAGGAGCAGGTACCTGATTTGACTGGCAAGGTGTGTAGAAAACAATGTCCAGCCAATTGCCAATCGCCCAAACAACACGTAATAACGTTCTCAACAGGTTTTCATAGTGACGGGCTCCAGCTCGGGTGTGGGCAAAGAAGCTGCGCGGATTCTATATGCGAAGAACGCAAAGGTATACATGGCGGCACGGCCAGGACACAAGGCATCCGCAGCCATGACATCGATCCAAGAATCGGCGCTCACGTCAGCAGGCGATCTTGTTCTGTTACCACTCGATCTACCAGATCTGATGGCAGTGCGCAAGTCTGCGGAACAGTTTCTCTCGCTAGAAACTAACTTGCATGGGCTCATCAATAATGCAGGTGTGCAAGCACTCCACGACACAGACGGCAAGGCTCGAACAGCGCAAGGCCATGAAATCCACCTAGGTGTCAACGTACTGGCCCCGTTCTTGTTTACTCGCTTGTTGACTGGAGTGCTCTCCACGACGGCAAGTCGGGAGCCGCCTGCTGCCGTGCGCGTGGTATGGGTATCGTCTATGGGCACAGAGACAATTGGTGAAAAGGGACGCGGACTCTCTTCTGAATTTGTGGACTACTGGCCACTAATGTCGCCGCTGGAGCGTTATGGTCTAAGCAAATCTGGCAATTGGCTGCATGGTGTGGAATTCGCACGGCGCTATGCTGATGATGGCATCGCAAGTTTTCCCATCAACCCGGGCCACTTAAAGTCGGACCTATACCGGGAAGGCGGCTCGCTGTTCAAGTTCGCGCTAAGGCCTGTGCTGTATCCGCCCACATACGGGGCCTATGTCGAGCTGTTCGCCGCGCTGTCTCCCACATTGACCCTGGCAGACTCGGGAAAGTGGAGTAAGTACCCAGAATCGACTTCTTCTGAGGGTTACTAACCAGTCTCACTTGCAGTTGTCCCATGGGGCAGAATCTATCCTATCCGAAGTGATTTAAGCGATGCGACCAAGACTGAGGCCGAGGGAGGCAACGGTCATGCCAAGGCATTTTGGGACTGGAGCGAAGAGCAAGTCAAGGAATATTTGTAGCGCCGTCTATATATACTATGCTAGTTAATTGATGTGATGGTTTTACTCGATCGGCGTAAAGGTCAAATCTAGATTGCCAATATGCCACGACATGCAATCATGAACGTCATCTAGGAAATGATCAGGGTCAAATCCAGGCGCAAATGCCACCTCAAATCGTGAGAGGGTCTCTGCGAGAGTAAGTCGCATTTCCATCAGCGCTAAAGGACGGCCCAGGCAGCTGTGATGGCCAACAGAAAATGGCGCATAAGCTGCGCTGTTTCTGATGAGGTCAGGTCGAGAGTGCCAGCGCTCGGGTATGAAGTCTGCAGCTTTGGGATAGATGGCATCGGAGCGGCCCAAGGCGTATTGAGAAGAGAAGACGGTCATATTACCGGGGATGAAGGTTTCACCGACGAGAATACCCTGGGGTGGGGTTTCGCGTAAAATAGTAGAGGCGGGCGGGTGCAGGCGGAGCGTCTCATTGATGACGGCATTAAGATGGGGGGCGTTAAAGATTCGCTGATGGGAAAATGTACCGTCAGGAGCGCGGAACGGCAGCAGCTCGTCACGCAGGCGAGTCGCATGTTCAGGGTACTTGGCGAGATAGAAAAAGGCAAACGTCAGGGTGGCTGCGACGGTGTCACTGCCAGCAATGATGATGAAGCGACAGTCGTTGCGGAGAGCCGAGAGGTCACGCTCGACGACGTCTTGGTTCTCGTAGTAGGTGAGCAGCGGGGCCATCAGGCTTGGCCGCTCGCCGCGCTTGGGGTCGGCCATGAAGCGATCGAGGTGGTGATAGCAAAAGGTCAGGAAACCCGTCGAGGCCTCGGTGGGCACCAGCGACTGCGCGACGTCAACGAGCAGACGCATCAGCCACATGGGCAACCTTAAGCCCATAATGGTCATTCCCTTGACGAGCTGTTCAACCGCTTCGTGCATGCGGGAGTCGCGCAGCATGCCAAAGTCGGTCCCGAGGCCAAGATCGCCCATGGTATCGAAGGCAAACGCCTCTGCCAGGCGGGCCATATCGATGGGCTCACCGCGGGCATCGGCTAGTCGTCCAAGCAGCATGTGCACATATGCAGCGACACGGGGCTCGTAGGTGCGGAGAGCCTTGTCTCCAAATCCACGGCTCCATACACGTCGTCGAACAGCATGCAGCGGCTCATGACGCGTCGCTATGCCACGGTTGGGCTGCTCAAAGTCGTACATGGCAGCCTTGCGGCATGGGCTGCCGGGCCCGTAAATGGCGGCAACGGCCAGAGGATGGGTGAGCATCAGCGTCGAAGAGCCGATGCGCACAAACTCGCCATATTGCTTACTAAGGCGCTCGCTGAGGCGGTGCATATCGTGACCGCCAAGCTGCGTGCACAGCCACAGGTCACTGATTCGCGCCGCCATAGGACCGCGAAAGCGGTTTAGCGGGTGCAGGAAGATGCGGTACGTAAGCAAGCTCCCGTAGAGCCCTAGCAGGAACCACGCCGTCATTGCCACTGCCCACGTCAGACACCCATCTCCTCCCATTGCATATCGTACCGCCGCCGACATGGCGATACAACTACCCAAAGCAGCCACGCACCACACCCCGCTGCCATGGTGCTCCCCTCTGTAAAAGTAAACGACATGCGCAGCCATGCCTGCTACCGCCGCTGTTGCGCTGTGTGCCAACTGCATTGGAAAGGAAGATAGATACTACGAGTAAGATGATATGCTGGAAGCACATGTAAATCATTCATCACTGTACTTATCCACCTGCCACGCCTCTGTCCGGCCCAAGACCCATCGGGCCTTCGCCTTCGGTTTCCTAGTTGGGTGATGATATGGAACAAGCCGTGAGAACTGTACATTAACAACCTCTGTTCAACCCGGGTGTAGGTACTTCCGATATTCTTTCATCATGTCCCCCACAAAAGGCCAGACTGCCATCATCCAATCCAAAACACCACCTAGGGCCTCCGGTCTTCCACTCGTCGTCGCGCATGACAGGCCTTTGCCACCATTACCCACGCCCTACCATGTGCGTGTGCGAGTCCTGGCTGTAGGTCTGAACCCGACCGACTACAAAATGGTGACCCACTTCTTCATGCAAGGCAATACTGCTGGCTGCGACTTTTGCGGCATCATCGAAGAAGCAGGTCCGCTGTCAGTGCTTGGTCTTGGCCTCCGAGTATGCGGTGCCGACTTCCCGTACCGTCCTAGCAACCCATATAACGGTGCTTTCGCCGAGTATGCTACAGCCGATTCGCGCCATCTGTTGCGCATCCCGGATGGGATATCAGACCTGCAAGCCGCTGCAATAGGCGCCATCGGCTGGGGTACCGCTGCCCTGGCCATGTCCGACCCCACAGCTTTGAACCTCCCGGGACTACCCTCTCGGCCGGATGTTAGAGGCTTGCCGGTGTTGGTATATGGTGGTGCAACGGCAACTGGAATCATGGCCATCCAAATGCTGAAGCTGTGAGTCAGACACTACTGCATATATAATCATACGAATTGCTCCACCTTTGATTGGGACGAAGCTGACTTCCTGAATCAAACAGGTCAGGATATGCCCCCATAGCCGTTTGCTCGGCCAGTTCGGCATCTTTGTGCATTAGTCTCGGTGCTATTGGCACCGCATCGTACACTTCGACTACATGCGCTGAAGAGATCAAGGCGCTTGCCAAAGGGGAGAAAATCAAACATGCCCTCGACTGTATCACAGATGTAGAGTCCATGGCCATCTGTCTTGCTTCTCTCTCGCGCATTGGGGGCCACTACGCCTGCCTTGAGGCATTTCCTGATGCGTGGTTGACTCGTCGCTCGGTCGCTGTCAAGGTTGTCATGGGTTTCGAGGGGCAAAATGTTGATGTCGATCTCGGTCATCCTGTTTACTCGCGCAAAGCTAACCCCGCCTTGCATTCTACAGTTGCCGAGTGGGCGCGCGAACTACAGCCGTTGCTAGATGGTGGGAAATTTCGGACACAGCCTTTACAGGAAATTGGGGGTAGTTTTGAGGGCGTTATCAAGGCGCTGGAGATGTTGCAGAGCGGGGATGTCAAGGGCAAGAAGTTGGTTATAACTATATCTTCATGAATCGATTAACTGCGAATTCTGATCTTGTAGGCCACCTAATTTTGTTGTCACAGCTTTTCGACAAGTGGAACAGGTACTTATATCCAGATAGCGCTTGAATGATGTGAGTGATGGTGACGTAAAGAAGGTACGTTCCTTCCACATTCATTTTATGTCGTCATCTTCTACAGACGCGTTTGCTCCTGCTTCCAGGCCGCGTTCAACAACAGGCTTGCCTCATGTTGCAATTTCACCCAACCCTCGGTTTCAGATGCACAAACAATCCCGGTTTGTCCCACACCAAATATGCCTTCTGGTCATCCATCCACTTCTCGCTTTCGTTTGTCCCCTCAATATCAAAGTTCCACAAGAACCTTGCGAGAATATACCGCATCTCTGCGTAGGCCAGGTTCATGGCGATACAAGCACGGGGACCGTAGGAAAAAGGGTGGAAGCCATCCCTCCGGTCACTGTCAAACTCAGCGGGGCGCTGCCCATCCGGGAACCAACGCTCAGGATGAATTTCATCAGCATGCTTCCAGTAAGCTTCGCTGCGGTAGAGGACCCGGTGCGGGATGCCGAGGACAGTCTGTCTCAGGTCAGCGAGAGTACGAGGTTTCCGAGGCTCATAATTGAACAACTTACATTTCCAGGAATGTAATCGCCCAAAATGGTGTTCCCCTCAGGTGGTGTTGTACGCCACATGGTGTTCGGGCCTGGAGGATAATACCTCATTGCCTCTTCGATGAACGCGCCCATGTACGTCAACTGTGCTACACTCCGCATATTGATGTCGTCTTCGGTTGGGAATGTCCTACGCAGTTCGTCCACGATCTTCTCTTTGACATCGGGCCTCGTTGTCAAGATAAATGCCATCCCCGTCAAACTACTACTCGTCGTCTCCGCGCCACCACCCGTCAGCAGTATCGCATTTTTGAAGATCTCCTCCTTGGTCATATACAGAGTACTACTCTGTTTGTTGTTCATGATCTCCATGAAATCGTCTCTCGGAGTTGACAAGGACAGCCTGCGTTCAACAACTTGTCGCAAAAGGACGACATGTCTCTTGAAATCGCGGATGAGCTGAACCGTTGTCTTGATTGGCAGAAACACGCAAAATATCGGCATACGCTTACACAGCATGAGGATATGTGTAACATAGATGTTGGCAAACACAAGCTGCAGCCACGGATGTAGCATACAGTTCTCCATGCAGCCAAACGGCTCTCCAAACGCCAGGTCGCCAATCAGGTCGAAAGTGCAGTAGGTAAACCATTGCAACATGTTTACCGTCGCCCGTCCATCATCGCATAACCCGTGAAGTTTGGACAGAAACATGTCCACGTGGACTTTTATGAGCGGTTCCTGCTTGCACATGGCACTGTACGTGAAACCCGATGCCATGACGCGGCGCATGCGACCATGATCTCCCAGGGTAGCCCCCACCATGTCGTGCGCATCTGGACTGCAATACCAGTCCGGCTTGGGGTTTTCTCTCCTTTTTGCGGGGACATAGCGCCCATATACGTCTTCCCAGGCTTCTGGGCACGCATACGAGAGCTCATTAGGGCCGATGCGCACTGTAGGTCCGTACTCGTTGTGTAGCTTGCGGATCTTGAGGTGCCATTTCCCTGTTATGTAATACAATCCATAAGTGATGGAGGACGCCGCGAAGAGTTTAGGGCCGGGATATTTCTTGAGCGGATGGAAGAATATGTTACGGAGGGGGCAAAAGATGAGGACGTAAAATGCTGCCTAAAAGAGTGGTTAGAGGAATGAGGAAAGAATGGGTTATCAAGTACGCACTAGGGCAGTAGTCGAAATGACTATGAACTGCCAGTTCCGAATTGGCACCTCATTCAACGAGAAGGATATGAGGCCCATGGTGAGGAGCAGGTGCGCCCTCCACACAACTGTTTCGGCGTACGAGTTTCTGAGTTGATAGGTCTAACACGCAAATATGTTGCCATTCAGGACTACCCTTCTTGGAATCGGCCCGATGCTTCTTGGCCGAATGTTCTACAACCTTCACTTTCACTCCTTTGCCGTTATGTGCTTACGTATATCTTATGTATATAACCTTGTGTATCTACTCCGTAGGACAATCAACGCAGTTCTCATATGCAGTTGTTGACGTCTTGTCTACTGCGATAAAATACCAGTATGTCAAACCAGAACACGAAGAATTTGTGCGCTAGACTGAGTAACATCAATGGGGAGCACGCACGACACCAATATCTATGGGGAAGTTCTATTGGGTAATGTGAGCCAGTTACGCCACTTCCGTCACATGTATCCGATATTCCCTCCGGGCGGACTTCGGTTTCGGATTCACTTGCTTTCACGGTCATATACTGGAAGCCGAGCATATACTGACTCAATGACAGCAGGGTCACACGCAATGTGTAGTTTGACAACCACGTTTCATAGTTTACAGTGGTGAGGGGTTGCACGGCGCATTGCTAACTAGTTCCGCACTACGAAGGTTGCCGACGCTAAATTTACATGGTCGCTGTCACTTTCCATAACAGGAAACCGACGCCTATCTGGACAGCATCTCGGCACAGTCAAGACCAAGAACAGTAAACGAAAGGGTCCGTTCGTATTCGATTCGGGTTATCCCTGAATTTACTGCGCCTCCTTTGGGAAGACGTGGAACTACAGCAATTCCGTGGCGCCGAGTAGATGGATAGTAGTATCGGTGACATTTGCCTTACATGGTGTTGTGAAGAAGCTGTGGAGTCCTTGGTTAGCTCTCTTGGTTTTCGGTACACTTTACTAATCTCAAACAGACCCAAAATTGCGAAAGATGGAGTTCGATACGTTGTATGCCCAGACAATGCTGTATCTATCACGTGACCTCCGCGCTGATCCATTGTATATTACATCAAGAACTTGAACGCGCATTTCAGGTAGTCGGTATTCAACCGGTATCACATCAGCATCTTAGCCCTTTGAGGAACTCTTTTCAACGTTGTCTGCTCATTTCGTTTGAGATATCTATCAATCCCCTAGCCAGGTTTCCTCCATATCAGCCATGGCCCCAAAAGGCTCCGCCAACGAGCCAATTGTCATTGTCGGTAGCGGTTGCAGGTTTGCAGGAGGCGCAAACTCGCCCTCCAAACTATGGGACCTGCTTCGCGACCCGAAAGACATACGCAGCGACATTGCCAGTAGCCGGTTCAACGCCAAAGGCTACTATCACACTGATGGAACCCATCATGGCCATATGAATGTCCTGCAATCTTACCTACTAGATGAAGATACTCGAATTTTTGATGCCGAATTCTTTGGCATCAACCCCGTGGAAGCCAAAGCTATGGATCCACAGCAGCGTTTACTCCTTGAAGTTGTGTACGAAGCAATTGAGTCAGCAGGACTGAGCATCGAGCGATTACGAGGAAGTGACACAGCTGTTTTTGCTGGTCTCATGTGCGGCGACTACGAGGCTATGATGCTGCGGGACTTGGATCAGGCACCGACACATTTCGCCATAGGAACATCGCGCGCCATCCTATCAAACCGAGTTTCTTATTTCTTTGACTGGCGCGGGCCCTCTGTCACTATCGACACAGCCTGTTCATCGAGCCTTGTCGCTATCCACCACGCAGTGCAGGCACTTCGGTCAGGGGACAGTCACGCAGCGGTGGCATGTGGCTCGAATCTCATACTGGGCCCGGAAATGTACGTCATCGAAAGCAAATTGAAGATGCTGTCGCCAGATGGATTGAGTCGTATGTGGGACAAAGACGCGAATGGTTATGCGCGCGGAGAAGGCGTAACAGCCGTCGTGCTCAAGACGCTCAGCCAAGCGCTGGCGGATAATGACAGAATCGAAGCTGTCATTAGGGAGACAGGTGTGAACCAAGATGGTGCAACGCCAGGAATCACAATGCCTAGTGCTAATGCGCAGCGGGCTCTTATTCATAGCGTTTACAGGAAAGCTGGTCTTGATCCAGAGTCCGTAGAGGACCGACCGCAGTACATCGAAGCTCACGGTACCGGAACACCAGCGGGAGGTATGTTTTTCCCTTCATATCACTTACTTATATAGAGGCCCTGAATCCTGTTTGCTAACGCTGTCAATCTTGTAGATCCTATTGAGGCTGAAGCACTCAGTACCGCATTCTTTGGCGCCACCGCACATTCGGACAGCCCCATCTATACAGGGTCCATTAAGACTGTCCTGGGACATACGGAAGGCTCAGCCGGTATTGCAGCTCTTCTGAAAGTCACCAAGGCCATTCAGAATGCCACAATACCTCCGAATCTTTGGTTCCAAGAACTGAACCCCAAATTGGAAGCATTCTATGGGAATGTCCAGATTCCCACCCAGGCTATTGCGTGGCCAGCTATGTCGGAGGGGAAACCTAAGCGCGCCAGCGTCAACAACTTTGGTTTCGGAGGGACAAATGCTCACGTCATTGTGGAAAGCTACGAGACCGAGCCAAGGGAGGAAGCTGAACCTTCTGTTACTGATGAAACTACTGATATGGTATCAACACCATTTGTTTTCTCGGCTGCATCAACAGAATCTCTTCGCGCAAACCTTGCTGCATACGCCCTCTACCTCGACACGCACCCAAACATCAGTGTACGTGACCTTGCCTACACTTTACGCGAGCGACGATCGGTGCTTCCATTTCGCATTGCCTTCCCAGAAACAAATGTAAAAGACTTGAAGCTTAGCATCGCAGCCCGTCTGGCTGAGTCTCATGGCGAAAGCCTCGGTGTACGCACATGGGCAGCAGGCAACGGAGGACGCTCGAGGATCTTCGGAATCTTCACCGGACAAGGAGCCCAATACGCTCGTATGGGTGCGGAATTGTTTACCCAGACAGCGCTGGCACGTCAAACACTGCAAAAGCTGGAGGCCTATCTTTCTGAACTTCCGGAAGAGGATCGCCCAAGCTGGTCGCTCAAGAATGAGCTCCTCGCTGATTCATCAGTCTCTCGAGTGGGTGAAGCAGCCATCTCGCAGCCCCTCTGCACCGCAGTCCAGATTATCTTGGTAGATATCCTTCGGTCGGCCAACGTACATTTTGACACCGTTGTCGGTCACTCCAGCGGTGAGATTGCAGCTGCATACGCTGCCGGATATCTTAGTGCTCGCGATGCCCTTTTTGTTGCTTACTACAGGGGGCTCCATTGCAAGCTCGCCGCCAGTCCGAATGGAAACGTGAAGGGTGCTATGCTTGCTGCAGGTACTTCACTGGAGGATGCCACCGAGCTCTGCGAGGAAGAGGAGTTCGCGGGTCGTATAAGTGTCGCGGCTAGCAATTCGTCTTCAAGTGTCACTATATCTGGAGACGAGGATGCTATTAATGAGCTTGCGGCTGTTCTGGACGACGAGAAGAAGTTCAACCGCCGACTCAAAGTGGACACGGCATATCATTCAAGCCACATGCTTCCATGTTTTGACCCTTACGTTGCTTCTCTCCGAAGAGTTGGCATCACGGTGCTGCCTGGAGATGAACAATGCACTTGGATCTCCAGTGTTTACGAGGGCAGGCCAATCAACGTTTCAACTGATGAACTGGCTGATCTTTACTGGGCGCAGAACATGACCAAGCCTGTTCTGTTCTCACAGGCCGTTCAAACTGCCGTTGCACTTGTCCGAGGTAGCGAGCCTCACGCAGTGGTACTGGAAGTTGGCCCACACGCTGCTCTCGCTGGGCCAGCCAAGCAAAACATTCAAGAGGCCCTCCAAAAGGACCTCCCGTACCATGGAACTCTTGTGCGAGGTGAAAATGCGATGACCGCATTCGCAACATGCCTTGGGTTTCTGTGGACGCGCCTTGACACCACATCGATAGACCTCGGAAGTTGTGAGGCGGCACTATGCGGCGGTGGTCAGCAATTCACCGTTCTTGCCGACTTGCCAAGCTACCAATGGAAACATGAGGCTGTCTACTGGGCGGAATCGAGAAGGTCACATCGCATGCGACTACGTGATGGGCCTTATCATCAGCTGCTCGGTAATGTGTCCCCAGACAGCGCACCTCATATCCTGCGGTGGAAGAATGTCTTAAAACCCAGGGAGATGACTTGGCTAGAGGGACATCAGGTGCAGAACCAAGTTGTGTTGCCTGCTTCAGCCTATGTTTGTACGGCCATTGAAGCTGCGCAGTCCCTCGCGGGTGGTAAAGATATCCAGCTCATTGAGCTTAGCAACTTCCACATCCACAACGCCATTACATTTGACCAGAACGATGCTAGAATTGAAGTTCAAATCGAGCTCTCCCATGTACGAGTCAAGGGAAGGCACGTCCACGCTACATTTACCTATTCTGCCGGACTGGGTGACGAGACAAGCGATCTTGCCCTTGCCGCCAATGGTGAACTCAAAGTTCTCCTTGTTGATGGTGCACCATCTCTTGCGCTGTTTCCGGAACGTCAGGAGCCACCGCCACACATGATTCCAGTTCAACCTAGCCGACTGTATGACTTCATGAAGGGCTTGGAATATGACTTCTCGGGACCGTTCCAATCCCTGACCAAGCTCGAGAGGAATCTGGGCAACGCAACTTGTATTGCTAAAAAATCAAGGACATTGGTACCAGATGCTGATCATCTGATGGTTCATCCCGTTGACCTCGACGCCGCCTTCCAGTCTGTTATGCTGGCCTACAGCTATCCTGGAGACGACCAATTGCGCTTACTACATCTACCCACAAGCATCGCAAAACTCCGCGTCAACCCCGCTGTGCTTGCTTCTCAGAAATATGCTGAAAGCGACACGACAGTTGTAGATTCGACTTGCAGCACAGCGGATCGGGCTGAGCCCGGAGAAGGCTTCTCAGGCAGTGTCAACATGTACGCGCCTGGTCTGGACTACCCAGCTATCCAGGTAGACCACGTCAAGTTCAAGCCTGTGGGATCCGACGCCAATAATGATCGCGACGTCTTTTACAAGATGCACTGGGTGCCTAGTGCAGCTGACGGAACGCGTGCTGCAGCCGGCGTTCCCATCACCGAGCGCGACCACGAACTCATGTTTGTACTGAGTCGCATTGCCGCCTTCTACCTGCGACAATTCGAGGACCTGATCCCCGAGGACCATCCTGCGAGATATGAAAGCCCGCTCTGTCATTATATGCGCTATGCTCGACACATGACGGGTCTTCTGAAGGCGGGAGAGCATAGATGGGCGCACTTGGAATGGCTGAACGATACGGAGCAAGACGTCTTTGACGACATTGCTTCCAAGGGCTTCACGGAGAACTCTGATGTCAAAATCATGCTTCTTGTGGGAGCCACCATGCCACGTGTTTTCAAGGGCGAGACGACCATGTTGGAGCATTTCCGTACATCTGGACTTCTCGATGAGTACTACTCCAATGGCTTTGGAACCAAGCAGTCTACCCTGTGGGTTGCCAGTGTCCTCAAACAACTGACAGACCGCAATCCACATCTTAGCATGATGGAGATTGGTGCTGGTACTGGAAGTGCTACCAAGACGATTCTGCAGTCTGTTGGTCATGACTTTGCAAGTTACACCTTCACGGACATCTCATCAAGTTTCTTTGAGAATGCGGCAGAGACATTCTCTGACTACCAGGGTCGGATGGTCTTCAAGGTGTGCAACGCTGAGATTGACCCTGTTGAGCAGGGCTTTGAAGCAGGCACCTACGATGTCGTCATCGCATTCATGGTCGTTCATGCCTGCGCGAATCTCGAGGAAGCAGTGGCTAATCTGCGAAAGCTGCTAAAGCCCGGTGGTTTGCTGGTCCTCGGTGAGGGTGCCAGTGATGGCGCAATGCAGGCTGGTGCGGGGTTCATCTTTGGTACGCTTCCTGGTTGGTGGCGTGGTGTTGACGAAGGCCGTACGCTGTCGCCTTTGGTGAGCGTGTCAGAATGGGAGGTCATTCTCAAGAAGACCGGTTTTTCAGGCATCGATACCATGTCGCCGCCTCAACTCTTCGACGCCTTCGGCATTACTCTCTTTGTGTCGACTGCGTTGGATGAGCGCATCGAATTCGCTCGCGATCCTTTGAGAAAGAGTTCCAGCGCGGTGTATAGCAAGGTCGTAGTCATTGGCGGAAGCACCTCTACAATCATGAAGCTCGCTGGTGAGGTCCAAAGCATCTTGGCGCCTTTGGCCAAACAGGTCATGCTGTACGCATCCCTCGAAGATCTGGATGACACCGTTCTCGACGATGAGACTGTCATTGTCAGCCTTGTAGATCTGGAAGCCCCAGTATTCAAGGACATAACATCAGAGAGATGGTTCAAGTCCCGTCGGCTCTTTGAGACGAAGAGGGATATTCTGTGGCTTACCAGCGGCCGTCTAGAAGACGAGCCCTATTGCAACATGACAGTAGGGTTTGGCCGCTCCGCCATGCACGAGGAAGAAACCCTACGCGTTCAATACGTGGACGTGGCGAATTCCAGCCAGCTCGACGCCCAGACCGTTGCGCAATATCTTCTTCGCTTCACGTCTTCTAGACTAGACAGTTCAGATATCCTTTACACCAAGGAGCCGGAAGTCATTATCGATGCCGAAGGACGAGAGTTAGTCCCGCGTTTATTCACCATCAAGGCTGCTAACAATCGTCTCAACTCAGTTACACGACCCATTTACGAGGATGTGGATGTGAGCAAGAGCGTTGTGGAGCTGCAATATGCCAAGGACGGGCCAAATTTCAGACAGCTTTCGCGATATGAGGTCTCCGCAAAACTCACGTCGTCGCAGGACATGACGAAGTTGAAACTTACTCACGCTGTAGCAACTGCGCTCAGGTGTCCAACCGGCTACCAGTATCTCGTCCTGGGTTCCGACGAGTCCGGTGTCCATAGACTCCGCAACAATCAATTCAATCCGGTCACTCTCCTAGACCCACTTACCTATCTAGGTAGGGCTTAAACTCCTATAGGTAACTACTAGGCTTAAAGCGGTAATCAATCAATCCAATCTGAACCTTCTAGGACCCACTTAATTGATTGTTGCGGACTGTGGGTGTCCAGCGTCTCGCATTGACCAGCTCACTCACTTCTGTACTTTGCGTCCCTCTGGAATCAACCGTTCTGTGCGAGCTTTCTGACATGTCGGAAGCCAGCTGCCTTGGAATTCTTGCTGCCGAACTCATCTCCATGGCCATCGTTGATCCGCTGTTTCCTGGTCAAAAGCTGGCTGTCCACAATGCCCCGGATTCTATCGTCAGAGCTATCGCTAGCCATGCCGCATCCAAGGGTGTTGACTTAACATTTACAGTAGATTCCTACGGTTCGGTTGTCTCTTCGGACGTCGCATCGCATATACAGCTCCCACTGTATCCTTCACGCTCGGATATCGCATCCATTCTTCCCACTGACCTGGCATGTTTCGTCAGCTTCTCCACTTCCAGCGAGGCTGAGAATGAAACGATGATAACCTCATGCCTTCCTTCTTACTGCCGAAAAGAGAATATTAGCACTCTCTTCTCATCTCATAGCGTCGACACCGGCGCTCCCAAGACCCTGGCACAACAGGTTCTCAGTCGTGCTGTCAGCTCAAGCAATGGTCGCGAAATGTCTGCTCCATCAGTACAAGTCGGTCTGGAAACACTTGCTCGCAGAGAACGTCCCGCGGACGCCTTGACGATCATTGACTGGACGAGCTCGAGCACCATCCTTCCTGCACGCGTCACACGGTTCGAGATAACTCAACTGTTCAAGGCCGACAAGACTTACTGGCTCGTCGGACTATCAGGTGCTCTAGGAATCTCACTTTGTGACTGGATGATTGAACGCGGAGTCAGATACCTCGTGTTGACGAGCCGAAGCCCCAAGATCGATGCGCGATGGATACAGAATCATGAGAAGAATGGTGTCTCAATCAAAATTCTGCTCTGCGATGTAACCGACGAAGCCGCCATCAAGGCCGTTCACAAGACAATCGTTGACACACTCCCACCCATTGTCGGCCTACTAAACGGTGTCATGGTTCTCCGAGATGTTTCAGTCCGCAATATGGAGTACTCACAGGTCACTGATGTTATCAGACCAAAGGTTCTAGGTAGTATTCACCTGGACCGCATCTTCCACGACGTAGATCTGGACTTCTTCGTGCTCCTCTCCTCCATAAACTGCGTCATTGGCAACGTCGGTCAAGCCAACTACGCTGCCGCAAATATGGGCATGATAGGCGTAGCTGGCCACCGCCGCAAGCGTGGTCTCCGCTCCTCCGTCGTCAACGTCGGCGCTATCATTGGGGTTGGATACATCACACAATCCGACCGACAGCTCGACGTGACGGTCGCCAAGACAGCCATGATGCATTTGTCTGAGCAAGACTTCCATCAAATTTTTGCCGAATGCATGGAAGCTGGGCATCTGGACAATGACAGCGGTCCGGAGATATCTACAGGTCTGTTGCAAATCACACAGGATACTATTGACATCCCGCCATGGTACTCTGATCCCAAGTTCAAGCGATTCCAAGTGCACCAGAGTGCTACTAGTGGTGGAAAGACAGAGGCGACAAATTCGGCTTCGACGCAGGAACTTCTTTTGCAATGTCGCTCCCAGTCCGACGTCACAAATATCATCAGACAAGCGTATTGCGCACAGCTCCGTCGGATACTGCAAGTTTCGACCGCAGACGAAGATCTGATGATGATGCGGGGAGTCGATCTGGGCTTTGACTCTCTGCTCTCCGTCGACGTACGCTCGTGGTTTCTCAAGAACTTCCGCGTTAGCATCCCCGTGCTCAAGATCATGGCAAACGACGTACGGATGTCAAGCCTGGTAGACTTGGCCGCTGAGAGCATCCCCGCTGAACTGGTACCCAACGTCGAGGAACAGCAGCAAACAAGCCAACTGAGCACCCCGTCATCATCCAGCAGCGACGTAGAAACCGCAAGCACACGACCTACATCTCCCGAATCCGGTTCCCCAGGCACACCACCCCTTATCAAAGAGGAAAAGCCACGAGCGGACACTCTCACGTCCATCGACTGGGACCTAGAAACTACCCCACCCTCACCATCCACTTTCCCGGAACTCACCTCGACCCCTCCTAAACTCAATCCCGAAATCGTCGTTCTGACAGGTTGCTCCGGCCTCCTAGGCCACCACCTCCTCGCCACCCTCATTGCACAGCCCTCCATCAAAAAGGTGATCTGCCTCGCCACCCGCAATCTCGCCTCCCGTCTTTCAAGCGGGGAACTCCCACCCGCCAGCGATCGAATCGAGTACCACGCCGGCGACCTCACAGCCGCATATCTCGGTCTCTCCCCTTCAACCTGGACATCAATCTTCCAACGCACCGACGCCGTAATCCACAACGGATCTGACACCTCGCATCTAAAATACTACTCTGCGCTCAAACTCGCCAACGTAGAGTCAGCCAAACAACTAGTATCGACCTGTCTCCAGCGCCACATCCCCTTCCACTACGTCTCCTCGGCCGGCGTCGCCTTGTTCGCTGAACGCGAGGCTTTCCCCCCTGTATCCTGTACCGACACGGGAAAGAAACCCCCTGCCGATGGCTCCCACGGCTACATGTGCGGGAAGTGGGTGTGTGAGAAGATGCTCGAGCGGGTATACGAAACATACAGTCTCCCCATCGTTATCCAGCGGCCCTCCACAATCATCCGATCGGGCGACGACGCCACCGTCGCACGCGCGGGTTTCGACTGGGTTAATTCGCTCCTACACTTTGCGCATAAAACGCAGACGGTGCCTAGGGTGGACTATAACGCCGGCGCTTTTGACCTTGTGAGCGTGGATACGTGTTGTAGTGATGTGGTGAGGGAGTTATCGCGGGAAGGCAAGGAGGAGGGTATTGCGTATGTGAATAACGTGGGTGATGTTGTTATTCCCATGACACAGATGGCGGATGTGGGGTTGGAGAAGGTGGGAAGGAGGTACGAGGTGTTGGGTATGGAGGAGTGGGTTAGGACGGTGGTGGAGGCGGGCATGCATCCCGCTGTTGCGGCGTTGATTGAGACGTTTGATGAACCCGGGGTTGAGAGGTATCCGGTGTTGTTGAGGGAATGAATGGTGGATGCTGGTGTGGTGTAGTGGTTAAGGGTGTGTGGGATGGGGATGTTCGATATTTTGATAGGGGTGTTCTATTGTATCACTGTGATGTCAGGGCGTTGGTAGTGGTGTAGGGTAGAGTTAGAGGTTAAAGACATATAGCTGTATCACACATCCTATAACCCACCTAAACCAGATATTCTATACTCATTTCCAACACAGCCATACATACCGCCTCAACAAACCAACCACAAACATGCACCCACAAACACAGAAAAATGCTCCATCCATTGTCATTTAACCACAGTTGAACCAAGACCAAGAAAACCAAAAATCAACATTACAAAAAAATTACTTAATGCCCCAACCGTACCCGGCAGAAAAAAATGGATGTTTCTACAAACACCGACCCGCACACACCCATGACCCCAAGTCCCATTCCTTTCCCCCCTTTCCTTCCAATGCATGGCATAATCCCCTACCCAACCCATCTCTTGCTCTACCCATTCCCATTCCCCATTCATTCAAGCTCTCGACCCGCCACCTCCTCCACCACTATGGATGTTGCCATTCGTAGGCGGCGTAGCAAGCTGCATGGGACTACCATAGCCGTCTGGCTGTTGGAACGCCACAGCTTTTGACATTGTACCCGGGCTGTCATACATGGGCGTGAGACTGGCTTCTTCGGTATCCGTAGTCTCTGGTGGAGGCGGCGGCGGCGGCGGCGGCGGCGCAGAAGGAAGTGTTTCAGAAGCCGTGCGTGTACGCTTGGGTGAGGAAGTCGAGTGTGTGGTTGATGCACTAGTGGAGGAGGCGTCGGTGGTGTTGTCTGAGGAGCGCTTGCGTTTGAGGTCATGGGATGAGTCTGTGGAGAAGGTTGTGTTGGTTGCTTTTGGGGTCGAGGAGCCGGAGTTTTGATGGGAGTGGTCGTGGTCTTTGGGAGGGTATTGTGGGGTATTTGGTGTCGTTGCGTCTTTTGAAGTCGCTCGAGAAGAGCTGCTTCGTGAGGCTTTCATCTTTCTCCGCTCTTCGGCGGTTTTGACTGCCTTGTTCATGTATTCGTGCACGCAGTTTTTGATGCGTTTTTGGTGGTTGAGTGGAATTTTGGCAGTGGGGTCCTTGACCGGGCCGTTCTTGTAGTCGCCGCGTACGACCTTTTTCGCTACCTGTGGTGCGGGTAAGTTGGAAGAAGCAGATGCTGCAAATGTGACCGCATACCTCTTTACATAGGCTCTTGAACTCTTCCTTTTCGAGCTTCTTGGAGTAGAGGTTCGCGGTAGACATGATGTAGGGTGCGATCTGCGGGGGTCAGGCTTGCTTCATGCAGCGTTGTCAGGTACTCACTGTCGCCTCATACACCTTTTCCTGTTTTTCGATAGTCAGGGTTCGCCATTTGTCCCTACCAGATGGCTTCTCCTTTTGCTCATCGGCAACTGGCTGAGGTGTCGTCGACGTGGAAGGTCCAGATGCGGTTGGATTCGAGGTGATGTTCGATATTATATCTTTTAATAGCTGTGTATTGTCCCTGGCCTTGTTTGGTGGAGGTGGCGGAGTGTTGGCAGGCTGGGTCGGACGTTGCCACTGAGTGGTGCCGGCGGAGTTGTAAAAATACGTAGAGCCATTTTCTGCTGATGCTTGAAACCAACCAGCAGGTAGAGTGTTGAAAGGTCGTGGTCGCATAACTGGTCTTGGGGGAACAAAGAAGCCGGCTGGGCCACGCGGTGCATTTAACACTCGTGGACCAGACGGCGCGCTTGCTGCTGATGGTCCTTTGGGCGCAATTGTAGACGGTGACTTTGATCTCGATCTTGATCGCTCCCGCCCTCTCTCACGGCGCTCAAAATGATTCTCAGTACGGGCTGCGGTGCCAGCGTTGGGGTCCCTCTTCATACGAGGTATCCTGTATGCAACCTCAAGCTTGCTCCATTCCTTCAGCAGCTTTTCGGCCGACTCCCGTACGCGCTCATCTCCGTAGTGCGTCAGTTCCTGGACTGCCTCTTCAATCTTGGAGTCTTGGATCTTGTTTCGGGTGATGCGCGGTAATCGGTGAAGAATGTCAAGCACCTGTAGAACGACGTTGGTGTCCTCTTTCCAAGTAGTCAAGGTTGTCTTCAGGATATTGTAACCGTGAAACTGAACTATGCGGTGGCCAACCCTTTCATTATTGGTTTGCATACGACTGAGCAGTTTGACAGCAATCCACTTCTCAGTGCAGTTGCGCAGAGCCGGCATGACCTTCTTGACACCATCTTCCTCAAGCTCTCGTGGCTGCAAGTCGTTGACATACTCCTCGTCGTCTTCGCTGGCCTTCTTCTTACGGGGTTTCTTGGCAACGGCAGTGTCCCAGCCAGCGCCATCATCGATACCGAGCGCCTCGATGGTAGCACCAGAGAGTTTAGTCGCATTATCAGATTGGGTCTTTCCGCCGATGAAACCACTGCAGTTGGGCTCACCGCAGTAGCAAGGTTGTGGATCAGCGCCGTAGCGGTCAACATTGTAGTTGAAGACAAGTTCCTCACCTGCCCTCACGTTGCGCTCGACAAAGATGCCCATACGCAGCTTATCCCCAACGACCCATTTGTCGACGAAACAGTTGGGGTTACACGAGTGATTGCAGAAACGTCCTAGGTTGCCCTTCTTTGTGGCATCTACAAATTCGCCCTTGGTGAGGGACATGAAGTAAAAGTGCTTTATTCCTTCCTCGTCGTACTGACCCATGCGGCGACGGAAGGTGCGCTCGTCGATGACTTCACCAATGTACTCAAAGACAAAGTCTCCTGGCACCATGTTTTTATTGGCACGCAGGCCAAAGCCCTTCTTCTCCGTCTTGATGACGGTGACGTCGGCATACTGTTTCCGTTGGAAGCGCTGGTTCTGACACGTCCTACCGCAGCTGCAGTCGCCCACACATTCCATTTTTGTCGCGCGGTTGATGCAGTCGGAGTCCTCATCACAGGCATGGTTGGTCTTGGTGGCCGAGTCGTATTCTTCTTGGCAGTCGCATTCCAGGGCAGGGTCTGTGGTTCCAATCGTCTTGTTCGCGTAGGTGCATTCTGGGAGGACGACAAAAGTCTCTTTGGCGGCTTCGGTAGAGTCGGGGAGGTCGAGGTATAGCGGCGGCGAGCGTGTGACGACTTTTTGGGAGGCGGTGCGCGAGAGCTTGGGTGGCTTGCCGGGCTCCATCTTCAGGGTGATATCTCCCGCCAACGTCTCTTCATGGGCGCTGCCGGGCGATGGGGCTTCCGAGTCGTGTTTGACGCGGGGCGACTGGGACTTTGAGCGCGACTTAAGCCTGGGCGGTATGGCGAGGGAGGCGGGCACGCGGTCAAGAAAAGCCTCGTCCTCGACCTTTACCTCACTTGCGCCATCACCCTCACCTGCTCCTTCCGAGTGGGCGGCCCCCAACTTCATCTCGCGTAGCTCGGGCTCAAGCCGAGCGGTGTGCTGTTCCGACTCGGTATCCGACATACTGTGGGCAATCGTGGGGTTGGTGGAGGTGCTGGAGAGGGTGCGGAGGATGGCGACAATTTCAAGCAGAGTGCGCTAACGCTCGATTCTTACAATCACACATACAAGACCAGGAGCCTATTCACCTCATAGTCGATGCGACACGCACACAACAGGAGACACGCCAAGGTCTAGCTGCACGCTGACGTGAAAGAGCAGGTGCGTGGAAGCAGACAGTTGCAATGACTGGGGGGGGGGGGGGCAATCTTTGCTTGCCGGGGGCGCGCGGGGGCACACGACGGTCCAGATGGTGCTATATTGCGCCCGACGCGTCTGGTATGCGCAAAGCGACACGGTTTTTATGGAGGGATATATTGTATGGGTGCTGTCGACATCAAGGTAGGGTGGATGGGAGGCGTGGGCGCAAGTAAATGCTTTGTGGATTCGTGCTCTCCCTCTGTCTGTCTGTGTCTCTCTCGCTATTCTAGCTCGGCGGCGTCGTAGGCAGTCCTCTCTGCTTGGAACTCGTCGTTTACGCGATCATGAGCAAGCGGCCACGGATGGTAGGCGATGTGTTCGCGTGGTGCGGGACGCGACGCGATGTGCTGCTGGTGCTCTTGAGATGCGAGTGAAGAGTAGATTTAGCCACCTGGGCCAGCCTCGGCCGTCTCGATGCAGGGCCCCTCGGGCCCACTGCCTTCACAAGAGTGCACGCAAACCATGTGCACGCAGGAGAGAAACTTGGGACAAGGAATGCGCGTGTTTACCATTTTCTATCTTTGCACAGAGCTGCGCTATTACGGGGAACATAAAAGCTGGCCGTCGTCGTAGCAAACTCTTGGCAGCTCGTGAGCAATCTAGGGAGTCGTCAGAAGGCGGAGATGACATGGGCAGTCTGGGGCTGGGGTTGCCCACTCACAAGCCCAACCAGTATTTTGGACGATGAACGTCACATCAGGTACCACTGGAGCATCATTGGGCACCAGGCCGTTCAAATTGTACAACATGTCGCTAGGCCGTGGTGCTAGTCCATGGCAAGCGCATGGGTGCGACTGCGATAACAGATAGATTGATGTAGCAGCTTGCGAATGATGCGGCAGCAGACTGTCCAGTCTCCACGGCTGACAGTGGTCCGACACGTGAGCGTCACCAAGACAAACTTCAGTGTTTGACTATAGCCACCGCCTTGCTATACAACTACGTTATCTAGCACATATATGCGACATGAGTCTGCCGTACGCCATGATATCGCAGCCAGTATACCGCTAGTGGGCGTACGAGGCAGCGTCCGCCTATTTTTGCTGTGAGGGGGAGTGGCACCGTGTGTGCGGCTCCAAGAACTATCCGTGTGCATGTGACCGGGGCTGAGTAAGATGGCTGCTGGTAGGACCGACGGCCTCATCGGGATTATCATCAAACATGCCGAAATGTCCTCGAACGGAAAGACGGTGACCAAGCTACGACGACTCTCATTTCTTTTGGAAGATGAGCCCCACCAGAGCTAGCGTGAACCCAATTTTGAAGAAAAAAAAAGAACTATCTCGTTCGTAGGTACATGAACATGGTGCCGACGCTCGGAAGGCGATTTTCCGTCTGTGTTGGCTGGGGACATTACAGTCCTGTGTCCAGCCGTGCAGGTGCGTTCGCGTTCGTATGTGCTATGTAGCCCGGGCCGCATGGAGCGTGCTGCATAAGTACTTATGTGTGAACGGTACCGGCATGGCATCCAGACGTGTCAGGAAGGTGACCTCTCTACTCTACAATTCACTCCCTGCGAGAGGTCGGCCCATAGAAACCCGAAAGAATACCTAGGTACTATACGCGGTACGGAGTGCGTACATACGCACCCTAGAGAGTTGGGGAGCGTGCACGGCGGAGCTCCAGGCATCTTGGCAATAATCATCTGACTGGCCAGCTTAAGCGAGCCGCCCCACTCGTATGGAACTACAGTAGTGCAAAACTTTGACCAAACCTACTCCCATGATGCCGGCACGACAGCGACCTTGGCTGCACCGGCGCGCAGTTCCCTCTCTCCGATCTATTTAATTTTATCAAAGCACCGCAGAAGCACCAATAGTCACAGGCACGGAGCAAGACACTTTTGTAAATACCAATATTAATAAATCAATCTTCGCCGTCGACATCCTTGAGAGCTATGCCGAATCGCGGGCCGCTCCCGATGATGTTTGACTGACTGGCTGGCTGGTGCAGTCACAAGAGCCTGCCGTCAACTGCAACGTGTCTATGCATGAGCGTCGTTTGGCCGCTCGACAGGTATAAAGAAGAAAAGCTCAAGCTACGCAGCTGCGACGTTTGTGCTTCTCGATACACATTTCGCGAGCGCCTGTCTGGGGGCCGACCACAGATCGCACCGTTGGAGGCAGGGATTACAAACGCCGTCCTCCGTTGCCCCATCAGGCGCGATGCGCTTCTTCTCCCTGCCCCATGGATGATCCGCGCTCAACCGTGGTTACAAACTCAGCAGATTATTCCAATATGCATTGCATATTCAGCCTCCTCACGCCAGCCTTCAACAATAGTCGTCTACACGGTACTGCGAGCCCTCGGACAAAATTCCGAAGCCCACATGGGGGGGGGGAGTGAGCAAAGAGGAGGCCAGGCATGTTTCGTGCAAGGGAAGGGCCGTTGGTCTCAGGCTAAACCCTCCCCGGCTGGTGAGACACGGCTTGGCCCCGGCCGTTAGGCGATTGGCTCTCGATTTTGCGCAATCCTCTCCAAACATCCGCTGAGGCTTTCGAGATGGGGTAAAGCGCCGCCAGGTCGCTGTTACATACGTAGGCTTTTGTTATCGATTTGCGATGAGCACTGATGTAGACAATTACCGTGCGGGAAGCCTAGGGCGATGCATTCTTGGAGTGGGGACTAGTCCCTTCCCATTCGTCTTCGATCAAATCCGCTAATGTATAACATACCGGGTGGCTCTCCCCAGTAATCTCTGACGGGAAGCTGTTTCTCCTAATTATCTCGACCCTGCCTCATGTGGTCCCTTTGACACACTCTTCTTGCCTGCTGGCATGAATACGACCGCCAGAGCCCGCCGCAGGTTTCTTTGATGTTCTAGTGCTCTTCTTCTACCGCTCGTTACTGTTTCGTTTCAGCACTCTCGTTTGTTCTGTTGGTAAACGCAACCATACATACAACCGCGCGGCAGGGCGCGTTGCCTTCGCGCCGGTCCACTTACTTTACGGCCTTGTCATTGATGATCGATTCGTGCTTTGCTTACACAAGACGTCCCTCTGCAGGAACTACTTCAAAAACCTCTGCCCGCGCGTGTTTTGGGCATGTTGAATCACGCCATGGACCCCTCAAACCCACGCGAACAACCATGGGCAGAGCACGAAAAGGTATACAACTCTCGTTTAGTGGGTCGAGCTTGAGACTAACTTGACATTGTAGGTCTATCTACTTGCTGAAATACTAAAAGCCCATCCAATACCATCTAATGTTCTTTACGGGGTTATACGCGACGCAAACATCCAGCCGCGATGGAATGACACAGCGTTGCCTCCTGGTATGTTTACATCACCATTGCACCCCTCATCCCGCAGCGTGCCATTGCTTCCTTATTTTGCGCACCCAATACAATCTTTGTTAAGAAAATCCATACTAATGCGACTCTTGCTTTCTAGGCCGCTCTGTTCGCTCCAGTCAAATGGCCTTCGACAATATCGCAATGGCAGCGTCGGCCGCCCCGGGGCAAGAGTACAGGCGCCCGCAACTACCTGCTCCGATGATGTATCCAAATCCCGATATCAACAAGAAGCGACCACATCAGCAAGAAGGCTCGGTATCCGCCCCGATAGGCCGTTTACTACAACCTCGTCCGCCACATCCGTACCCAGGAGAATACATGCCCGCTGGCCCTGCGTATATGCCCGTTACAAATCCACCCGGAGAGCCGGCGAATAAGAAGAAGCGCGGAAGACCAACAAAGGCCGAGGCACAACAAAGGGCACGGGAAGCTGAAGCAAGGGGCGAGCCATACCCACCCCTTAGAAGGGGGCGTCAATCCATCACAGGACCAATCGGTATATCGCCGCTCAGCTCAGATCCGCGACCAGCCGAAAGATCAACTCCACCGCCTGCGCCAGCTCAATTGGCTCCTGCTGCCATGACACCACAACGTCAGATAGGTGTGGAACAGGGATCAGAGTCTTCATCAGGAAAGAAAAGACGTACAAGACCGCAGCCATTAGAGCTGGAGAAACACAGCGCACCAGGCGAACTAGGATCGCCTCTCCCATATGGGCCGGGCGACTACAGGCCTCCCCAAGGATATACCTATACGCCCATCTCGGCGCCCTTGCCGTCTTCTTCTGGACCTAGAGAAAGAGATACGCGCATGGAAGGCGTCGAAGAAAACCAACCACGGACCACGACACCTCACTCTTTTAAAGACACAGTCGGCATATGACAGCGTTTCTTTCGTCACAAAAGTAACATACGGTGGTAATTCTGATTTGACCGCGTTCCGTCAACGAAACGACATTTACTTACGCCGCTAACGATGACCTTATGGCCATGAAAAACAACGAGGGGATATGCTCTTTGCCATCTACACTCGTTGCAACCCTTGATGATCACCAGTCGCTTACACGCATCGTCTACCATGTTCATGTCACTGCGGCCCTGGAGTCTGCTTTCCTTTCTTCCTTGGGCCGCTGGCACCAGTATCACCTTTCAAAGTTCAATCATTTCGTCAAGATCTATTGGTCTTCGTTTCTTTCATTCAACCAGCATATCGGCGCCGCTTTGACGATGATAAAGTCAAAGATGCGAAGAACGAGCCAGCCGTTAAACTTAATGTCTTACCTTGGCTATCATAACGACTTAAGAGACTTTCCTTTTTTCTGTTTTTCTTCTGACAATAAAGAGCGGGCGTTTTTCTTCCTTCCGCCTCCTCCTCAGCCACTCCTTCTTTCTCAGCCCTGTAAACCTGTACAATAGACGACGAGATCCTAGATCCCGTTTCGCTCCGACTTACGGCCTTGTTATTTGATCTATTTGTTTGGTTTTTTTCTTCTGCTTCACAAAGACCGACAGGGAGAGGGGAGAGGTGAAAAAAGCACTTATTAGCGACAGAACATACATAATAGTACACGTTGATTGCGGCGAATCAATCCGCCTCACCATCACTGCCATCCATTCATTGCCACCCTTGGCCTAAACGGATACTAACGTCTTAGGCCTTTTAGTACTCAAACAGTGGAGAAGAGCGCTCTTGGAGACTACAACCGCCCAAGTAGGCGGCCATACCATGACACCCATGGCCTGACTAGAGCCACATGACATGATGAAGAGTGTGTATCAAGTCAAGCGTGGGCGCCATGTCGCACTTGACCGTACATATCCTCCCGTCAAACCCTCCCCCAACCACTCAATTCCTCGTAAACAGGGGGACGCGAACAGGGACCAGCCCTCTTGCGTACATGCTGCAGCATGAAGAAAAGAGCCATTCAAGAAAAAAGGGTGCAACAAAGGTGGTTGGGGGGAAACATTGGCGTCGCGCGCCCGAATCGGGCCGGACGGACAGCAGCGCCGTTTGTATGTAAGAAAGCTGGCTGTTGTGCATGCGTGCGCGCGCGACTCGAAACCCCGCTGCCGAACTGGGCGACAGAAGCAAACGGGGTTTGTTGTTTCACCTAAGAATAATACATTTTTTTAATCTGTTACCAGTGCAGTTATGCTGCAGTTGGGGAGTTGTGTACCACACTTTCTTGATCGTTTTCGTTACAGATTACTAGATCGGTCGGCTGTGGTTTGGTAGATACAGGGGATATGTGTGTGTTTTTATTCCACGGCCTTTTTGCCTCGTTAATGAACGTGACTCTTTTTGGACATTTCATGCTGGTTTGGATGGATTGAGACTGGGGGGGAGGGGTAGGGGGGGCAAACGGAAAGGAGGGGTTGATTAAAGTACATGCAAGTAAGCGCCCTGGAATATAATCATGCTTTTGCATTTTGCGCATGTCGAGGGTAGCAGGTACATGACAGCCGCGTGTGGCGAATCAATTTAATCGCTGCCTTTGTAGTTTGAGATTTGAAACGAGCGGGGTGCGCGCGTTGTGTGTGTGGTAGTCGCATGTAGTCTGTCTTTTGTCGTCGGTTACCCCGTTCGACGTACCAGAACCAAATACAAAGTAACACCCGAATCCGGAAAACTACTAACTACAAAAGCCGAAAACAACACAAATACACACAACACACATCTTCCCCCCTCCCCCACTTATTGGCCACCCCGACACATGCCCACCTGCAGAACCGCTGCAAAATGACTCGCGCGCCTACGTAAAACGTACGGTACTGACGCGATACACTGTTGTTTTTCTCTCTTCCACTTCCACCCCCCGGGCAAGTCAATTGACAGAGTAGACTAGACTGGACTAGACGGGGGACTGGGCTGGGCTGGTAGGGTGGCAAACTCGTTACGAAAGGAGTTGCGAGCGCGAGGTGACGCCACACGTTTTACCGAGGCAATGAGGCTGGAAGTAGGTTGCGCACGAGCCACCTGCTGGGGGTTTTGGAAGTCGTTCTCAACGTTAGATGCACGCGATCTGATGGATGTTTTTTCTCAACGGAAATATCTGCATCACGATTATCAAGAAAATCGATGAAATTATTGATTGATTGGACAAAATAAACCTTATCTGTAAGTTCTCTGCGGATATCCCGTACCATACTAGTCCAAAACTTTGAATTTGCTATTTTCTTATCTAGTACTGGTCATCGAACACCAACTTTTCGAGATGACAAAAAGGTCCTGGATTACCCTTTTTTCATCTCAATTCCATTGAAATGCCTTCCTAGAATCAGTTTCCAACGTCTGCTTTTGCGTGCAGGCGTTGTGGCGGGCGCGCTGGCCGCTGCAACTTTGACAGAGTTGTTACCTGGCCTTAGTTGAGAGAAATCTCTGCAAATGGCCCGTGCGCCAACTGATTTTAGATGTTCGATCGAAGGCACCCTCTACGAAACCGACAGAGCAACGGCTCTTCCTTAGGTATATATCTCTATTGCTGCAAAGTAATAGGCCTATATATCTAGATGCTACCTATACCCGAACGCCCTAAACCAACTCGATATACCGACCCCATATACCGAACCGCTCCAGCACCTGCTGTCACCAGCACACTCACGAGCAAAACACCGACCAGGCACTAGATGTATAGATCTATTATCTCTCTTGTAGATCCCTATATACAGACGCCTACACCAAAAGCCCTCTCCACCGAACGACCTAAACCGACTCGATATACCGACCCCATATACCGAACCGCTCTAGCACCTGCTTTCACTAGCACACGCACGAGCAAAACACCGACCAGGCACTAGATGTATAGATCTATTCTCTCTCTTGTAGATCCCTATATACAGACGCCTACACCAAATACCCTCTCCACCGAACGCCCTAAACCGACTCGATATACCGACCCCATATACCGAACCGCTCTAGCACCTGCTTTCACTAGCACACGCACGAGCAAAACATCGACTAGGCAATAGCTGTATAGGTCTATTATTGTTAGGTTATAATAGATTCCTGTATACAGACGCCTACACCAAAACGCCCAAAACATCGACTAGGTAATAGCTGTATAGATCTATTCTGTCTTGTAGATCCCTATATACAGACGCCTACACCAAATACCCTCTCTACCGAACGCCCTAAACCGACTCGATATACCGACCCCATATACCGAACCGCTCCAGCACCTGCTTTCACTAGCACACGCACGAGCAAAACATCGACCAGGCAATAGCTGTATAGATCTATTCTCTCTCTTGTAGATCCCTATATACAGACGCCTACACAAAACAACAGACAGACACTGTATAAAACTACAAACAATATTTCTTTTCGCAAAGAGCTCGCTGTTACATCTCTTTCTGTTCACCACACTGCTCTTTAGCACCCGCGCCAATGGAAGACTAGCTCGGAAATTGGACTACGCAACTATCCTCCAAATTGTACAAGACCTATAGAAACTCCATATTGAACAACATACATAGAACGGCTTAGCCAAAGTCCTACATAGTCACCGACTGATACAGGACTCCAATGGAAATATAATAATAATAATAATATCTAGTACTGGTTCTGTGGTCTTCCTTTTTCCTCTTTCTTTTTCATATGCTTGCATTACCGTAGGTTTTGACGCTGTTTTCTTTACGACAGGCGGAAGCGCCCGCGGCGGATGCGTGGGTATGAGTGTGGGATCGAAGCGGAAATATGTTTCTGGAACTAGAGCACTGTTGCCGATGCAGATGCCGATGCCGATGTGTGGATGTAGCGGGGTGAAGTTTGTGCTTGTTTGATGGGGCTAGGTGGTGGGTAGATCTATTTTTGGGAGGTATGCGTTAGTGTTGGTATGGTAGAGTTGTGGGTTCTAGATGTTTTAGTAGATAGTCTAGTAGTTAATAGAAGATGTTTTTGTGTCAAGTATAGAGTATGAAGTGGGGTAGAGAGACCGATAGTTTGCGATGCTAACATGTTTTGAACTTCTTACAATATAGTTTAACCCTAAGGCTATTCTTATAGGATTGAAGACGTAAGTGTTAGTTAACTAATTACCGCTCTTGTCGGATCGTGAGTATCGGTAGAGACGTCGGCTGCTTGACACTTCGGCCCGACTTCGGCCCACCTTGCGCAGAGCTTAGGTATACCTTCGTAGCAGCTATGTTCGTAATCAATCAGAACCACCGAACAGAATGCATTCCTAGTTATCGTTATTTCCCTTTCCGCACTTAGTGCAAAGCCAACCAACAGCTCTTTAAATTTATTGTTAGTGTGTAGGGCGATACTAGAGACGCTACGATCTTTGATACATAGCTTTGATGAGTTGCATTGTACGGACGCAAAGAGAATAACCAGAGCACTTGGCGAGAGTATGGATATAAGATGTTCAATATCGGCTGGAAACATTATAGTGACTAGAGAGTAACATGTATGTTGCATACTGTATGGTTTCCATTAATATCACAAACTCCCAGGCGTAGTCCCTTGAGGCAACTTCTTTCTTATCTTCTTTACAGTGGCATCTATTCTGAGTGCGAGACTTGTTCCTCTATACTTCTTTGCTGAAATTCATTCCCTGTGGCCCTGAAGTTTAATACGCTTGGTAGAGCTTTCGTTGAATTACGTAATTGAGAGTTTTCCGGTCTATTCCCTATGGATGAACTGCATGTTACTAAACATTGGTTTTCAATACCGGCTTTGCGTGCATCCATTCTCCAATTCCTGCTTGGTTGGTTTTCACTCATAGACCTATCCAGATATCTAAAATATAAATTGAACACGTGTTCGTCATTCCTACACAGCCATGCGCCTGCATCTCCCTGCATCCCTAGTGTACATGTTTTTATCCGAGCCACCTCCGTAGATGTTCCAGACTCAGACGCTTGATGATATCCTCTCTCCCCAGAGTTTTAGCCACAGTCCGCAACAATCAATTAAGTGGGTCCTAGAAGGTTCAGATTGGATTGATTGATTACCGCTTTAAGCCTAGTAGTTACCTATAGGAGTTTAAGCCCTACCTAGATAGGTAAGTGGGTCTAGGAGAGTGACCGGATTGAATTGATTGTTGCGGAGTCTGGTTTTAGCCTTACAGCCAATAGACAGGGAAACCAAAAATAGGGACCCAAGGCATTTCCACACTACCCCGAAAATTACCCAAAACAGCAGCGACGGTATTCAAGACCCTAGGACCCATCGTCATCCATGGCTCCCTGCAACCCGTAGTCAGATATGACAAGCAGAAAGATCCTGACTCCACGTGTCCCCCTATCAGACAGTCACGCATGTTATCCAACAACTAGGGAACCTTGGAAATTTTGGTACTGCAGCCGAACCACGCACACTCCTACACTGAAAAATAACCCCAAACCAGAGGTAGTCACTATCCGGTATCCATGGGCAACCGTATACCGTACCTAGGTACCGTTCCAAGACCCTAGTCACTTTTACGAGTGTCGTTCGTATCCGCGTGTATCAGCGCATAGCAGCGTATAACAGTGTATAGAAGATACGGTATTTGAAATCTAGTCCCGTAGTTACCTAGGTACTCTGAACCCCATGAGATACCTGATCCATGACCTCGACCCAACACCCGTTGACCAAAACCTATCACCTAACACTTATTGCCCAACACCTAGGCCAACATACTCACTCCCCAGCTCATAACCCAAGAACACACTCATAGTACCGCGTCTAGAAGAAAAGCTATAAGCGTTCCTTTCAACAATACCTATTTAGCGCACATAATCATCCCAACCCTCAACATACCCTCTATATACTTCCTTTCACTCAGTCTTACCTACTTATCAGTCTTCAACCTCATAATCCAAAAACCCACTAGTACTAAAAACCTCCCAAGTCCCGCTCAAGCCCAGCCAAGCCCGCCACCACCCCAAACCCCATCTCAAACCCCCGAACATGTGGGCCCCTCCATCTCTGATGTGATATCGGAGATTAACCACCCTTTTCCTCCGTCCCGCGTCTACGCACCTACTTTCAAACGACTCTAGTGTGGGGGCGCGGATGTGGAGATTACAGGTTCGCAGGTTATATATTAGAGTTTTGATATAGGACTGCGATCTGCGATGACCGATCAGATGGCCGATGGTGTGGGGAAGATTGGATGCATGGATGGATGGGGGTGTGGCTTAGTGGGTAATAGGTGGGGTTATATAGGACGGGGGTGGGGATGTTAGGCATGCGTTGGATGAGGCGGCGTTGGGCGCTGGGCGGTAGAGATCAGGATTAGGATCAGGATCAATATGGTGGAATGAGTTATGGGAGAGTATAGGGAGGCGTCGTCGGAAGTGCGATGGGATAGATTATATATCATCGCTATATCGAATTGGATAGATATTTAATTCCTATTGAGAAGCTGGCACTATTAGTAGTAGTATGACTACCTAATAGAGCGCTCTCTAAGGCACAACGGTAGTGGTGGTACAGATTCGTATTATTGACTAAGGAGCTATTCACACGTTCGTAGATCCGTGTTGCGTGCAGCTGCGTCCAAGCTCCCCGCTAGGACCCACCTGCACGTGTCACCAATCATGTGACTACTCCTCCGCTTGATACCACCAAGTCACTTACGGACTGTATTCTCAACAATTCCAAAGATACTACCCACGCCGGATGCTACGCCTAATACCCAACTAAATATTTTATAAACGTATTCACAATATATACACATATTGGCATCTGCCCCTCCCTTCCTCTTCCCTAGAGATAGCCTAACCCTAACCTTATCCTAATATGTCAACCCAAACGCCTTGCCAAGCAAAAATAAACCTGCTGCCACGATTTTCGCCAAATGCCCCCTAGGAAAAAAGGTATCAATAAAAATCCCACAAACGCCCCGCACAAACAGCATCTAGCCACTCATCCAACGCTCTGGCGCCCTCCTACGGCACAAGCCCTTTCTCGACGACGCGCAACTAACTCGACACGCTGGAAGAAACTTTGCACTCGTCGCACATCCAGGATCTTGGTTTGATGCGGGGTGCGGTGCTTGAGGGGGGTAAGCACGATTGTGACTGTGGCTGTGGTGGTGGTTTGCTGCGGTGTTCAATGCAGGAGATGTGAAAGTGGCGGCGTATGCAGTCCTAGATGAGGTGTTAGCAATTGTAATGAGAGGGGAATGAGGCGAACTTACAACGTTGATACAGGCGATGATGCCTGATGCGCCTGGCGTTGCTGATGCATCTTCGCCGCAGTAGCATTCGTCGTATGGGGGGTCCGTGTCTTCATCTCCGTGTTTTGCGGATGGTATGCGTGGCGAGGGTTCCCCCATGTCTATATCGCCGTCCGAGTCAGCAGCTACCGTGATGGGGGTGATATGACCGGTCTCTGTAAGGATGGCTCTGCCTTTGCCCTTTCTGTCTAGTTTTGGTCTTTTTTGCTGTTGGACGTCTAGTTCGGATAGTCGTTGGGAGAGTTGGTTTGCGTCTGTGTTGGGCTTTTGGGCTTCGACGATTTCGAATGCCGCGGCATGCACGTCCTTGGTGATGATGTCGTCTTCCAGTAGTTCGTCGAGCTTTATTGTGAATTCGCTCATGGTGGTGTCTTGCCACATTGTACTCCCGTGTTGCCGCGCGAATCGTATGATGGCTTCTCCCATGTGGAATATGGAATGTAGATGTTCGTCATGCATGAAAGCATCGAATATCTTCAGAAATCGACTAACGGCTTCTGGGATCTTGTCCTTTTCAAATTCGGCATGTTTTAGCTGGGTCATCCACTCCTTATCTAGTTCGTCATCGCTCTCACTGATCTCTTCCCCTGGTTCGAGTGGCCTCTTGGAGAACGATCTGAAGAATGTGACTCCCTTCGGCGGTTCTGGTACTGGGAATTTCTTCTTCCTTCTTCGAGGTCTGCTTTGTACTTCGTCTGGTGTCTTCCGTGTTCTGGACGTAGATATTGGTGCTACAGAGACACTGGGTGAAGGTTTCGTTTTCTCCACTCTAGCTTCTCGTTGAAATCTGTCGTCTCCCTTCAGAAACCGCCGTTTATCGAACGGTTGAGCTGGTGCGATGACCTGTACATTACACGGTTTATCGGCATGATAGCTCGCCCTTTGTCTTTGGTCTGCTCTGTGATCTGCCACCTCACTTTGGAACCGCCAGTGCTCCACACCATCTTCGTCGATACCCTTATTTGTTACTTTGTAGTCGAAGTATTCGTGCCAACTGATGAGATGCATTTGTAGGTCATGAATATCCAAAGCTTTTCGTTTCGAGCAATGTAGGCATACGAGTTCCGAGCGTCTGAGAGTCTCCTTGCCATAGATAAATGTCAATTTGTAACGCGGTTCCAAGTCCAGCGGGGGCGTTGGGTAGGAAATAGAAGGCTTAATCGTGCTCTTCAACTGTCGATTATATTGTGCGAGCACCGATTCTTTGGGCATGGTATTCCAGTACATGCTGACTTCTAACCCGATACCGACTGGCTTTCCCGAGGCTTTTAGTGGTAAAATTGCCCTCTCTCGCGGACATTCGAGGATGTTACCATATATTGTGGACAAGTACGTAGATGTATCTGAGGTCTCTACGCCCAGATAATTGTAAAGCGCCTTGGCGTCCCCACGGCTGGTAAACTCGACGCTGAGCATCATGTTGTATGAGTCGGTTGGCGCGATCTGTTCAGGGTCCGCACATAGATCTTTTGAACTGATAGGAATTGCGCTCATTTCGACCGTAGCTTCTCTGCAGGATCTCTTGTTGCCACCCTTCAAGATGGCATCTTGGGAAAGTGGGCCAATACATGTTATGTCGGATGATGGGGCAAGAACCGACACTCTGATGGTACTCGGTACATGCAATAGAGTTCGAAATTTTTGAACTGGGCCGTCATCGTGGCTATCTTGTGCAGCCGATATACTGTTTTGCGACTTGATGCTGTGTATCTCGAGGGTGAAACTTCCTGCTGCCTCTTCCTGTCTGATCATTGTATCGATCATATTGTCAAGGAGGTCCTGGGATGGGGGCTGCCACTGCGCACGAAAGTTGGATTCCAGTTGATTGGAACAGCTAGTACGGCTAGTACGGCTAGTACGCCCGTACTCCAACACGTGCTGGTGAGCTTGGAATACCGTCGTTAGGTTTCGATCTAGGAAAATTGGCGCTCTCTTTTTGGCCAGATAGTCGTATAGCAATATATTTCCAGAAAATCTGTCTCGCTTTTCCAGCATGCTCTGGATATAGGTATGCAGTCAGATCGTGATGTTCTATTCTGATTGATTTGAGAGACTTACAGGGTCGTCGGAGACTCAGTTGCATGCTATCGCAACTGAGAGGGTGAAGCCAAGACGTACATCTATAGGAACAGGCGAGGAGACAGATTGCCAATGTGTGCCCCCGTCGCAGCGTGAAAGCGGTCGTGATACCGGTATGAGAGATGGTTGCGAAGCAGCAGTGTGGGGATCTGTATGAAAAAAGTAGGGCGGTCGTGCACTTGCGGTCTGGCGATTCTTAGTGCTCTTGCGACCCGTAACACGATCTATGTAGGTGCGCGACAAACGACTCTTCAGCACTCAGTGTGGCGAACAACAAGTGTTCATTCTGTGGTATTGCTGTCGCCAGCGGCTTGTTGTTTCGAAGAGGTTTGACGCGCACGAAGTTATCCAGGAACCACGCGATCGAGCACGACACATACAGGCTAGACAACGTCCGCGTCGGCCCGGATTAGCGATGACACGTGCTGCAGGGCACACAGTGTCAGTGTGAGCAGTGTCTGCCGCTGTGAAGATCCCACCCGTGTCGATAGTATCGTTGTTGTCGTGTTGGTGATGACGGTCGGGGGCTGTCACGTGCCGTGGCGATGGCACTAAGCTGCATGTGGCCGATAAGCCTGCATGATCTCATTGAGTCTCTCTCACTCACCTCCGAAGTCCGCATGCATCTACGATTCACTTTCATCATACGCCTCGACTGCCCCACTGGTTGACCGATCGCCCGCCCACGCCTATGAGAAACCCCGACTGCTTCATGCGCCTCCGCGACCGCTTTCGAGGGCTGCACCGCCCATTGTAGACTCAATCAACTATCAACAGTTCGGCAAGTCGGTCCACTTAGGTAACTCGAGCCGAACTTGTACACAATGGCTGTTACACTGAAGCGCAAACGAGGCGCTGTCTCGTACAAGGAGCCAAGTACCGACGACGACTTATCCAGTAGCTCCGGCCATGAACCATCTACCAGGAAGCCGCGCACCGCCCCTACCCGCCGCTCGAGTCGCCATCCACAAGTAGTTGACGATGCCTCGAGTGAAAGCGAACACGCTGCGCCAACCCCCCCTGATCATCGCCAACCAAGTGTACGAAGCTTACGGAGGAGGCAAGGCAAGCAGAAGATATCATACAAAGATGTCAGCTCCGACGAGGATGAGGACGATGACCCGGATGCCGACTTCGAGTTGGTTGAAGAGCGGGTGATGCCAGTGCGAACCAGGTCCCGGCCAGTTGCACCAGCATCACCTCGATATCAGGAGCGTGGGCAGGCGAAAAGGGGCAGAGCTAAACGCAAGGCTGTCTTGGGCGCATCACGGAAGCCAAACGACCAAGTGCAAGTCGAGCGCAAAACAGTGGACATTCTCACAGATGGTCACAAGCCTGTATGTTGCCTAGTACCCTTACATGATCACCGTTGTAAAGATGAATTCTAACATGCTATCTGTAGACCTGGGCTTTTCTTCCATACCATGTACTCCTTCAGATCTTCGTGTACGCCTCACACCCACTCCACGATGAGAACATGAGGCCGACCGCAGCCATTCCATGGCTAGTGCAGATGGCAACCATGTGTTCTGCATTCGAAAAGCCGGCTCTCACTGCTCTTTACCGCAATCCGCCAATATTCGCAATGAGACAGACTCGGAAAGACCTGGTCCACCACCTCATCACACCTCCGCCTGGGGCACACGACGACTATCGTGTCATGGTCAAGCGGCTAGAGCTAGATGCTACGCAAATGACTGCTCTCACGGACCAGTCAAATAGCGTGGCGGATCTTGCGGCGCTGGTTCAGTCACTAACGACACTGCGCGAGATCGACATCTTTGATCCAATGGATAGGCCGCCCTTTCGACCGCGGCTTAGGCGAATTCGCCGATGGGTATATCCCAACGAGCTCTTTGATGCTTTGCGACAAACTAGCCTGCGACTCAGGAGCTGGCGGTGGAACAGCACTTTCTGTAGCCAAGATCTCCTTTGGATGAAGACGATTCATGCCGACGCTGCATTCAAGAGCCTTTGTGATCTGACGCTAACCAAGTTTCACCCGGCGCCTAGTCGTAGGGCCCGTGATGACGACGACGAAGTCCAGGTCCAGCCGACCATGGAGGAGTTGCTTGCATCTGCGTTGGCTGTCCTTCCAAACCTTAAGAGCTTGTCATTTGAGACATGCGGTGTTGTCAGTGGGGCACTACTTCCACTCCTACCGTATAACCTCACCAGTTTGAGCATTACCAACTGCGGAGAACTACTCTCTGACGCCCTGACCGCTTTCTTGACTACGCATGGCGCACATCTAGAGGAGCTAGTGCTGAACCACAACCAAGCGCTCGACATGTCATTCCTGGTCGGCCTGAAACAATCATGTCCTAAGCTTGAGGTCCTTAGAATGGACACAACTTACTACAGTTCTCTTGCCATGTCTTCAGACAATGAGCCGCTCTACGAGACTCTTCTTGGTGAGGATGAGATACCCAGCTGGCCGACTACCCTACGCACCATCGACTTGGAGTATCTACGGAACTGGAATTCCAAATCTGCCAACAATCTCTTCAGCTCGCTCATTGACGCCGCTGAAGAGCTGCCCTGGCTGCAGGAAATCACCATCATCGCAATGGTAAATACTGACTGGCGACAAAGGGCCGAGGCGCGCCAGAAATGGAGCGCCAAGTTCAAGAAGGTGTTTGCAAGGAAGTGGGAAGCTCCTGATCCGCATCTTGCATCTCTCAGGGCTTTCCGAGAGTCGGAGGAGAATGGGAGAGAAGAAAAGGTGGATTCGTTCATAGACGGTGTCGCAGAGGAGCAAGCAGACACAGTCGGAGCAACCGTTGCAGTAGCTGAAAGTGACAGCGATAGTGACGTTCCTCTACTCAAGTCACGCGTGCAAACGCAAAACGAGGGTTGGGGCTCTCAGCGCCTTAGATGTCGCTCCAAAGCAGCAACCAGCTATGATGAGTCGTCGAGCGACGAATCTGGCACAGAGGAGACAGCGTCGGATGAAGACGAAGAGTTGTTTGTGCAAGGGCGGTGTCACACAGTCATCTTCCGTGTCGACAACTTCCGTCCGCGCGAAGAGATCTTCAACGAAGCCGACTTTCTTGATGCCGAGCCCAGCGGCGATGAGGAGTGGAACGGCAACGACAACGACAACGACAACGACAACGATGACGGAGGCGGGTATGCGTGGTGATAGTGCTGTAAGGGATCCGAGGGGGGGGAAGGGGGGGGGGAGGTTTGTTTCCAGGCGCTTACGCGGTCTTCGCAGCATAAGGTCGCACATGAAGCTATGACTATATGCATTCGGGAGGCGTTTGTTCGGTTGATTATCTAGATATCCGTGTATTAGTATTGGGCTCATCGGGCTCGCAGGTTGGGCTGCGCCTTCTTGGTCTTTGGTCAGGCCAGTCAGGCGTTGTCTCAGCCACATGTAGAATACGAAAGTATATCCAAATTACCAATGAGTGTGAAGGGCTGTGGTAGCAGGGAGGATAGGGAGCTGAAATGTCGTCTTCGCCCGCTCGCATGCGTCATTGTATCGACTTTGGGCAGTGCACAGCCGCGCAGAGCACCCCAGCATCCTAGCCAATCCCCACCACGACCGCTAACAAGGACCACCCACCCATTGCCTGCTCACACTCCTGTCACGTAACCGCTGCTTGCCATGTGGTGATATCCTGCGTCGCTTCCTTTCTCCCTTCTCTTATACATCCTCGTGCTCCTCTATAGCACCCTTTCTCCTGCCCCACCGTCACCTATCATCACATCTACCAGTCCAATATGGCTGTGCCGACACCTCCCATTCCGCCAGTCTCGCCAGACTCGGGCCCTACCAACCCTACGCTACCCAAGCTCCCTACAGGATGGATAGCGCAGTGGGATAACTCGTACGCGTCTTCCTAGCTCTCTTGATGCCTTGCCCTGGCTGCCCCGCCTTTGCACCACATGCCCCGCGACTCCGCTAACCAGTGCATAGATCTCGAAAGTACTACTGTATGTAGCCCCGGCTTCTTGTCGCACCTTCCGTGTTTGAAGCAGCGCCATCGTACGACTAGACACAGCGACTGACTCATGGCCCATAGATGTTCAAATAAGCACCGGTGTCTCGCAATGGGAACTGCCCACTAGTGAAGCTCCAATAGGCGGCTCAAACCACAGCACACCAGCCCAGCACACGAACCCGTACAACAAACCAGAAGGCACAGGTCCAGAAGCTCACGACGGAACAAGAGGCATGGGCGACGGACCGACTGGCGACCGCGCTGGCGGATTAGGCGTATGAAACACTCCCGCGCGTCAATGAAGCCGGACTGACAACGAGAACAGGGCTTCGCAATGAACGCTCTTATGGGCGGCAACAAGCAGAGCAGCAGCAGCAGCGGCGGCGGCGCTGGTAATCTCATGGGCCTCGCTGGTCAGTTTCTCGGAGGCGGAAAGCAGTCTGGAGGCTCCGGCGGACAGTCAGGCGGTGGAGGTGGCGCTGGTAAACTTGTGGGACAGCTTGCTAGTGGCTTGCTCGGTGGTGGAAAGCAGTCTGGCGGACAACAAGGTGGTTCTGGCCACGGATCGAGTGGTGGTGGCGGCCTTGGTGGCATGCTCGGAAGCGTACTCGGTGGTGGATCGGTATGCGACCTTCATCGTGGCACGAGTGCGACGCGCTGACAGTAATAGCATAACAAGCCAAACAGCGACTACGGGTACAACAACTCGGGTGCTCCATCTGGCGGATCCTACACAGGCACGGCCCCGCCGGCTTCCTACAACCCAGGAGGTGCTCAAGGCGGACAATACGGCGGCGGTGCTCCAAGTCACTCCAACTATTCGTCACCCGCACCTGGACAACAATACGGTCAGGCTCAGGGCCATGGAAGCTATGGGTCGCAACAGCACACCCCACAGCCACAACATGGACAACAGCACGGACAAGGACAGGGACAACATGGCTACGGCTCGCAGGCTGGTTTCGGTGGACAATCGGGATACGGAGGACCAGCTCCTGGCTACGGTCAGGGACCTCCAGCAGGCGGACCACCAGGAGGCTACGGTCAACAAGGTATGTGATTGACGCTGGCATGACGATCATTTTGTAGAGCTAACTATATGCAGCCGGTTATGGAGGCCCTGCATACGGCGCTGCACCCAGCGCCCCGTACGGCGGTGCCGCCAACTACGACCAACACCAGCACAACCAGTACGGCGGTGCCCCAACGCATGCGAACCAGTACGGAGGAGGCCAGCAATACCCCCCACCCCCTGGCGGCGGCCATCAATCTGGCTACGGCGGTCCTCCGAGTCACCACACCCCTCAGCCGGGATGGCAGTAAAAACCCCGCGATACGACTAGTCAGAACCGAGAGATCGCAAAACGTATGCATCACCAGCTAGACGGGTTACTGCGTTGCACAAATCGGCCACAAATACCGGACAAAGGACACGAACACTGGAATGTTAGAGGGTAGATCTGTTTATGGCGGAATACACTGGACTGTTCGTTCTACGGGATGTTGTCTGTTGTTACCTGTCGCGCGAGCTGAGCATATGAGGGTCTTGTTTCTCCAGCGGGATTGTATTACCTTTCTTGATTGTGTAGATTCAATTGTTCTTTTTTTTTCTGTTTAAACATGCGGATGCCTCTTTGAAGTCTATCGTCTGTCCCGCTCAAGTTATTTTGGCCGTGTCAGGTTAAATGTGGTGCGTGATTTCCGTCGTTGGTCTCTTGACTGGTATCCTTTCTTTTGCCCTGCAGCGTCGGCCCTTCTCGCGAGTCCAAAGTGCGCTCTATGCCCCCTTTGTCCGTATATCTTCTTTCCCATCGTATTTCTGTCTTACTCGTCCCCCTCTTCACCCAAACAACCCCATCCCCCCACCACCTTCATCCCACAAACACCCCCACCCCTCCCCCAGCACCCTCCACTGATACCCCACCATCCCAGCCCCAGCCCCAGCCCCAGCCCCTCTTCCACCTCCCCCCCCTAGATCTCCCGCATCAATACCCCCAACCCACCCGCTCAAACTCGCCCTAAACCCCCTCGCATCACCCCTCGGCACACGCACCCACACTTTCCGTCCGTCTATTTTGAGTATGTCGACTGGAATCGCGGCGCCCGTTGTGCCGAGGTAGGACCGTAGAGCTGAGGTGAGGAGGGTGGATGTTAGAAGGGGGGATATGTTTGTTGTGGATGGGGAGGGGTTTGAGGAAGAGGGAGGGTTTGAGAGAGAAGTAGAGGAGGGCAGGGAAGGTGTAATGAGCACCAGGGAAAAGTATGTCCAAGGTGTGTGTCGGAATGTGGTTTGCTGAAGTATATGGGATTCCTTTTGCGTCGTACTGGTGGTAATGGTGTTACGTTTGCGCTTTTTGGTGGGTTGGAGTGGTGCTGCGGTGTCTGCGTGTACGTCTGCGTGTGAGGGAGCGGTAGTCGTGGTTGCGTGAGGTGCAGGTGTTTGTTGTGTGGCTACTGGGGCCATTGCGAGGGACGTCTACGTGGAGTATGCGACGACGGCTTTGGGGCTGGAGTTTGTTGGCGTGTGTTGGCGGTGCGACAAGCTGTGAGGTTTTGGCGGGACGCGCAGCGGCCGCCCAAAAGTTTTGACGGGGTTAACTAACGCGGTGGGCTTAGATCCGACGGGCGATGCCGCGCGCCTGCAGGTTGAAAAGAATGCCACCATTTGATCAAGGGATGTTTGTTGCAAGGGATAGGCTAGCATAAAAGAAGAACAAAACCACACATACTTATAAGGGTACGGCACACAGGTTTTTCATCTAATACAATTTGCATATACATTGTGCCAACTGCGCCAAAGTACATACATGCTTCCACCCAGTACTTTGTTATCACTCCACCACGCCTTCCACCCGAAAACATGCCCGGCATGACCCAGGACTTTGTCTATACACCCGGCGACACCAAATTGCCCAGTAAAGGGACTTTGATACCAAATTGCCCACATCAAATCGGTCTTACAAACACAGTGGGTTGAGGCATGGAAAGGCTGAAAGCCGAAAAGCAGATCCCTTTCCAGTCGCCTCATCGCAAACACAAAGAAACAGCCGTTAAGCCGGGGTATCGTATGCTGCACTAAAATCCGAATGGGACCGCCGTAAACGCCAATCAATGACTTTTAGGGCGGAAAGTAACACAATATAGGGAACAAGGGTGACGTTTGCCCAAGTTAGGCCAAGCTGGGCTTCCTGCTGCCTGTGCCGTTGGGTTTGGCGTCTGGCAAGAGATTTGCAAGATAGTACGCCCAGTTGAACTCCAATGGTGCCACGCCTGTATTTTGGTTGAGGCTCTCAAAGAGCTGTTGGAGCTGCACAACGACCACGTACAGGCTTCCAAGCGAGCCTAAGAAGGCCCTGTTTGGTTCGACAAGAGTGGTCATGGCATCGAGCTCGGTTTGAAGGGTAGCGAGTGACTCCCGAACGCGGGTCACATTTTGATTTGCGTCGTCTTTGGCATCATTGATCAATTTTCGCAAATCGTCCTCGGCTCTCTCACGTTTGCTTTGGTCTCTCTGCAAGTTCGCACCCACCTGCTTCTTCTCGGTGGCGATTTTGGTCAACAAATCCTTCCTAAGGATTTCAATCTTTGCCAGCAACTCGTTCTTGTTTCCCTCGGCGGTTGTGAGCGACTCCTCCTTGCTGGCGTTGATCGTCGTGAGCAACGCCTTCACTCGATCATCAAGTGTTGCGAGCAGCTTCGTTCTGACGTCCTCAGATCTGGTGATCGCATCCTTCTTCTCGTTGTCGACTTTTGTCACCAGGTCGTCAATCTTTGACATCAGGACCTTCTTCTGGACGCCAATCTTCGCCACCAGATCGGTGTTGACTTTCTCAGGCAACTCCGTTCCGGTATCGTCGATTTTCGCAAGTGATTCTTTCTTGTCGGCTCCGATCGTGGTGAGTAGCTCTTCCTTGACAGCGTCGAGGTTTGCGTGCATCTCGTTTGCTTCGTCAAATAACCTTGTCCTCAACGTTTCAATTTTCTTCTCGGAATCTCTCTGTGAGTCATCGATCTTGTCGTTGAGTTTTGACTGATACTTCTCCAACTCTTGAATCCTGCTATCGGACACCGTACGTGCGCCTTCAAACCTGTTGAGTTTGGATTGAAATTCTGCTATCTTGCCGTCGGTTGTACGCAGCTCTGCAGCCTGACTGTCGTTACGCTTACGTAGCTCTTCGACATTGCCTTGCGAGCTTACACAGATATCCTGGATCTTGTCATCGGAGCTCTTACGCAACTCTTGCATTCCGGCAGTGAGCTCGCTCTTCACTTGTTGGAGTCGTTTCTGCAGCGTAGTCGTGAGATCGTTCAGTGCTTCAGGCTTAACAAGTGACGCAGTGCTGGAGGTGAGAACACGAATCGAACTCTGCAAGCCCTCAATACGGCTCTCAAGATTGGCGAGCATTTTGCCTTGTTCGTCCATTCGCCCCAGACCTTCTTCGGCCTTGCAAAAAGCACTCTGTGCGTTGTTGTAGGCTACGTCAATCTTGGCCAACATATCAGACGGTTGACGGGGAGACTCTACAAGCTCCCGTAATTGCGACGAGTTGCTGGCGATCTGCTGGAGTTGTGGCATATCCTTGGCGAGTTGCTGGAGTTGTGTGGCATTCCGACACAACCCTTGAATGTCGCTCGCGCTAGCCTGAACCCAGGCAATCTGGCCATGGGAATGCTTCAGTTGCTCGATATCCTGGAGCATCTGCGATATTCTTCGTGACATATTCAACAGGTCTGATGTATCTGGGTATGTCTGTACGAACCATCTCGTTATGCGTTTGTAAAGCTCGTCAGTGGTGATATTGTCATAACGAGTCTCCAGGTTGTGGAACGCGAAGTTGAGGGCAGTAATGTGGGAATCATGTGTCGTGCCGTCCACCTTTGTCTCCAATGCTGACTCCAAAGCACTCAAATTCCTCTTCAAGGCGCTCGTCTCTGTAATGATGGAATTGAGCTGCGCTTGCTGAGCGTGGCCAAAGGTAGTCTGTTGAGGTTGCGCTTGCAACGACAGCATTTCCTGTCTCATGCTAACCATGTTTTGATGGTACTGCTCTAACCTGCCATCCAAGGTGCTGATTAGGTCTTCGACTTTTGTTTTGAAAGGATCGAACTGTTTCTTGAACAGATCCGGGACAATGTTCCCCACCGATTCGATCTTGGTGCCTTGTGTGTTGATAGCCATCAGAGCATTGTTGACCTCATCGTCAATCCTTTCCATCTCATTAAGGAGACCGTTCAGACTTGCGTTGAATTGATCGAGGGCGCCTGGTGAGGCATTTGTTGCAGCCCCATCAGGTATAGATGACGGGCCGGAAATCTGTGGTTGGATTATGGTTGGTCTGGTACTCTGAGCTTGTTGTAGTGCTTGGATGCTGTCTGTGAACCGAGCGTCCAGCGCAGTAATGCTCGAGCGAAGAGATTCGTGCTCAGCAACCTGTTGCTCCAGCTTGCTCAGCCCTTCCAAGGTTGCTTCAGCCTTCTCCAGTCGTCCATTGATAGCTGTTACGTCTGCTGCGAAGCCTTTGACCTTATCAAAAGCTTGTCGAAGATTGTCCAGGTCTGTCTCGAGTTGAGTTATCCGTTGGTTTGGATTGCTTGATGAAGTTTCGGCCATGGAGTTGTCGTTCGAGCTGGGTGAAGAGGGTACCTGGATGCGCGTTCCAACCTTGTTGAATTTAGATTTCCGGGCGATCTTTTCCACAGCATCATCCTTGTTCTCCAATTCATCCACACGGCTAGTCAACTTCTTGACAGAATCGAATATACTGGTGTCATTCAACAAGTGATCCACGTTACGGGTCAGCTTCTTGATAGCATCTTCTGTCGTTGCCCGGAACTCATTGTCTTTTTTCGAGAGGCTCTTCAAGACGTTGTCGTAAATGTCGTCGTAGAGTTTCTCCATGAGCTTGTCCTGAAGATACTTCTTGAGATACTCGTAAAGATTGTCATGGAGTTCCTTACGAAGGTTCTTGCAATACTTGTTAAGATGCTCGAGACCATCATCAGTTCGTGCCTTGAAATGGTCGTAGCGGTCATTGAGCTTTTCAATCTTGGCAAATGTCTTGTCGTTGTTTGAAACGGCGTCGAGAAGTCTGTTCTGCAAGTCTTCGAAACGTGCGGTGATGTTTTGCCTTTCAGTTGTTTCCTTGAACGTCTGGAAAGTACCAACCTGCGTCCGGACCTCAGAGAGAGACTGCTGAGTATCGTTCATAACCTGCTTTAGCTCTTCCTCGACTGCCTTGCAATCTCTTTGAAAGATTTTCCTAGCTTCGTCTGTCTTCGTCATAACCTCTTGCAAAACCAGTTCTTTGATGTGTTGCTCACTAGCGGGCTTTGGTAGAGCGTTTATTGAGCTCTCGAGTTTGGTGATCTGAATCGTCTGCGCATTTATCTTGCGCTCTAAGAAGGTGGTCAAGTCCTTCTTTACTTTGTTCATGGCAGTCTGATCCTTATTACCGCCTCCTTGTAGGGAAGGATTAGCAAGTTGATCGACCTTGTCAGATAGAGGCTTCAATTGCTCGGTCTGCTTCTCTAGATCTGATATCCTGGAACCAAGCGAACTTTTAAAGTCATCAATCTTGTCCAGCACAGGCTTCACTTGTTGCTCAAGATTTGACAGGTTAGCAATAGAGTTCAACGACGGCTTCAGCTCCTCAATCCCGGTGCGCAGACTGGGAAGTTCAGTACCCAATGAGAACGCCTCGATTGAATTCATGCGATTCTTTAGAGTCTGAACTTCTGTGGAAACATCTGCTTGTGTATCATGTTGCTGAACCGAGGCCTCTATCTTCTTCAGTCTGTTGATCAGCCCCTCTCGCTCCTTCTTAAGATGGCCGATTTCGAGCTGATGGACTTTGAGTTGAAGTTCAATTGACTTCGGAGTAGACGCAGCTGGCGCAGGTGAATCCTCTTGCGTCGCAACGGCAGCACTAGCATGAGAAGCAATGTCTTTCTTTCTGGCTTTGAGTCGCCGTAATGCCTGCATAGTGATGGGGCCAGTGGCTTCATCTTGATGCTGCCTCGCCACCGCTAACGGTAGCATAGAAGGAACAAGGAGAGCTGCTTGTCCAGTTGGCGTGGACGCACCACTACCAATGCTACTGGGAGACCTGTTGCGGACATTGTTAATAAAAGACTGATTATCTCGGCCCTGCTCCTGCCGGAGACTTCTTTCCACAGCCGAATTTGGTCTGTGATGGTCAGGACTTAGTCTTGAACCTGTACGCGCTTTTGGCGGAAGTCCGGCAAGAGAGCTCTTTCTTGAAGATGGAGGGCTCAGAAAGGCGGGAGCATTTGTATTGGCGTACTATATTATGTCAGCACTGAAGGTGGCGGGTGGGAAACTTAGCTGACCCTATCTTGTCGTGCCGGCCGCGGCTCAGGCGGACGACTTCTCTTGTCGGGGGGACTATCGCCGCGAGAGCGGGAGTCCAGAGGTCGCTTGCTACGCAAGCTCATTGAGTCGCTATTTGCAGGCGAGTGAGTAAATGGGGATGGCGTATTAAGCAGACTTGCTCATGGTATTAGTAGATGCATTGTCTTGAGGCCCGCGGCGTATGCGGTGAAAGTGCGCTAAAGCGAGCTACGTAGCTACAGACATGTCATGTGCACATCCGAGCTTTGGTTTGCGGCCGTGTAGCAGGGATAAGGAAAAGAAGAGAAAGGTAGCGACGCGAATACACAACGACAAAATAAAAACGACAAGCGTGCGACAAAGTTTCAAAGTGAGAGTGAATGGTAGCCGATGACGTACCTGGCTGTGGAGATGAGGCGATTCCCGCTTACGCTTGCGTTATCCCTGCTAGCATTCGTCGATGTCTTGGGGACGAGAGGCGTAGCAGGAATACCAGATGCTCATACGACGTGCCAGATGGCGGGTGGAGGAATGAGCGTGGGAGCCGCTACTGCACTCAATCAAAGCGAGATTAGAGGCAGAAGCAGCAAAGACAGGGAGGCAAAACGAGAAAGGAGAGTAGGACAGAGAAAAGAGTGGGAGTTTAAGTAGTTAGAAGTAGAAGGAAAGGCCAATGGGTTTGGCTACTGGGGGTCCAGACACGGGCATGGAAACGATAGGTTGGATGGAGGGGGAGGGGCGTCGCGTCGCGTCTGTCGTCCAACTAAATAGCAAACGAGGCAGCAAAAGACGTGTCTGGCCCGTGCACGCTATGCCGGCCGCTCACGTCTCGTCTGCGCGTTCGCGAAATGTTGCTGTCCGCCGTACGAAGCTCGGAAAAGAGCAGAGAGCAAGATATTCCGCCCACGCACAAGACAGATACTGACCGACGGCCATGGCTATGGTATGTAGTGCGGCTTACAGGAGAGACAGAAGAAATATGTTCAAATAAGCAGTCACCTGACTGACCGTCCACAGCCCATCACCACCATCGCGGAGAGCAAGGAGCTCCGGGGGCTCAACCTCATCGCCGCGCATTCGCACATTCGCGGTCTTGGTGTCGATGATGACACGCTCGAGCCCAAGGTGTCGTCACAGGGTCTGGTTGGGCAGGAGAAGGCGCGCAAGGCAGCGGCCGTGATACTGAAGATGGCGCGCGATGGCAAGATTGCCGGTCGCGCTGTCCTCATTGCAGGCCCTCCTAGCACCGGCAAGACGGCAATTGCGATGGGAATGGCACAGTCGCTGGGCCCCGATGTGCCCTTTACTATGCTTGCCTCCTCCGAGATCTTCTCCCTCGAGATGTCCAAGACAGAGGCGCTCACCCAGGCCTTCCGAAAGTCCATCGGCGTGCGCATAACAGAAGAGAGCGAGGTCATCGAGGGCGAGGTGGTGGAGATACAGATCGACCGCAGCGTCACGGGCAGCAACAAGCAGGGCAAGCTCACCATCAAGACGACCGACATGGAGACAGTCTACGACATGGGCACCAAGATGATTGACGGAATGACAAAGGAAAAGGTCATGGCCGGCGACATCATCTCCATCGACAAAGCTTCAGGCAAGATCACAAAGCTCGGTCGCTCCTACACGCGTTCTAGGGACTATGATGCAATGGGCATCGACACCAAGTTTGTCCAGTGCCCCGAGGGCGAGCTGCAACAGCGGCGCGAGGTGGTGCACACAGTCAGCTTGCACGAGATTGATGTCATCAATTCGCGCACCCAGGGCTTCCTCGCCCTCTTCTCCGGCGACACGGGCGAGATTCGCAGCGAGGTGCGGGACCAGATTAACACAAAGGTCGCCGAGTGGAAGGAGGAGGGCAAGGCCACCATTGTGCCGGGCGTGCTCTTCATCGACGAGGTCCACATGCTCGACATTGAGTGCTTCTCGTTTGTCAACCGCGCCCTCGAGGACGAGCTGGCTCCGATTGTCATCATGGCGAGCAACAGGGGCAACACACAGATCCGTGGGACAGACTACAGATCACCGCACGGGTTGCCGCTCGACTTTTTGGACCGTGTCGTTATCGTCAACACTCACCCATACAATTCCGACGAAATGCAGCAGATTCTCTCGATAAGAGCACAGGAGGAGGAGGTCGACGTCTCTCCCGACGCCTTGGCTCTGCTCACAAAGATTGGCCAGGAAACAGGACTGCGATATGCCAGCAACCTCATCACGACGTCGGACCTGATACGCAAGAAGAGGAACGGCCCCGAAGTCACCATTGAAGATGTACAGCGAAGCTTTGCGCTCTTCTACGACCCTACAAGAAGCGTCAAGGTATGTTTGCACACTTGTCTCATACTACCAGCCTTTACTAACCTGCTTCCAGTTCGTCTCAGACTCAGAGAAGCGTCTCATCGGCGATGCAGGCGACGTTTCCTTTGCCATTACCAACGGCGCCGATGCGATGGACGTGTCATAGCGCGTGTATACTCTGTTCTGTTTCTTGGCGTACAACAGGTCTTGGATGGGTTCAGCGATTGATAACGGGTGTAGCTGTAGACGTGACAAAAGTCCGGGTATGTAATACTAAGCAACTTGAAGTGGTTACTGTACGTTTCACCCGTGATGTGTTCCCGGACTGAACGCTTCCAGGACTTCCTGAGCACAATTACACCAACGTCCGAAACTGTGGAAAGCGTTAATTTGCGTCTGACAGGGTGACACATGTGACGGGTCAGCCTGCAGCGTGCCCTTCCCTTGCTCCCAGGACTAGTGCAGTGCTGTTTACCAGGCATCGGGTAAGATGGTAGATTGGAGGAAACGAGGCCATTGGTTTGGTTCTGTGGACGGTCGGATATAGCCATGCGTAGTACCGGTGTTGCGGGATTACATACGCATGAAAGCGCCTAAACCAGACTAACCCCTTATAAGTCAAAGATGAGCTTTCGGCGTCTAAGCTCCAAAGAGCATGGCTAAGGGGGAAAAGAATTATCACGCTTCCTCATACACCAAAATCACGATCTGCAAATGCAGTAATGGCCGCGTATACCTTTGCACGCCATCAGTACTTTCGCATCGATCTGAGTCTGGGCGCCAACCCTCGCAGCTCCGACTAGCCGATGACAAGAGCTTGTCAATGCTTAGCCACGCAATGGCCGCGTGTTACTGGATAGTTCTTACCAGTCAAGCTTTTACAACCCTGAAGCCATGCTCCATGGCGTTCCAGCCTTGCCGTTTGGCCGGGGAATCATGGTTTCTCACTGAAAGCAGCACCGGTGGGTAAGGTGTCGCGTGCGTGTCATGAACAGCCTTCTCCTTACACAGATGCACCAAGCTTTGTCCTGTTGGGGGGACTAAGCGCCTTCTATTACTTCTTATCCTACCTGGACATCCCTCAAAGTCTTCGCGTCCAACTCCGGTGACTCCTGACATTCCGACATTCTGACTGTCTGACGTTATCGGCTCCTTCCTCCGCCCCACTTTGTGTCGATCGCAACGATTGAACTCACGCGAGCAGTTTCCCCTTTGCGCTGCGCAACTCATCCACTACTTTTACATCCCGCACTCGTTTATGAGTTTTGGAACCGTATAGTACTTGCGGAGCCGGCAGTTCATCCTTGGCACTTTACAGGCCGAACATCCTGGTGACGACATACCCACAAGGCTGAGAGAGGAATTCTGACGTTCATTATGCGGTTACCGACATACGCAGCTATTCTCGCAACATCATCACTCCTTACTTCTTCGCTTGCTACACCCACACCCTCTCACCAGGGGTCAATTGCGAGCTTGACAGGAGATCGGAATGTGGGGTATAAAAGCTGGAAGCAGAAGCAGAAGGCAAAGGATCCTCCCAGCACGAAGTACTTCCACGAGCCCGGGTAAGTTATCAATCATCCCTGCCATTTCCACGCCCGTGGTAACGCACATTGTATGGCGCTCTCTAACACTCCTCAAGAGGCACAGTCACGCTCGGCCACTATGATGCGCGGTACTTCAAGGAAGTTGTTTCAGACGATGAGCGGATCGATACGCAAAAACACATGATCCGCGCCTATTTGGCCTTTTTCCGCGAGAATGACTTGGATACCTGGATAGCGCACGGCACACTACTCGGATGGTGGTGGAATGGAAGGGTAATGGGAATCTGAATGAACTGGAGACCAACTGCTAACGCGCATCCAGCGTCTACCATGGGATACTGATCTCGACACACAAGTCTCCGACAAGACATTACAGCTACTCGGCTCTGTACACAACCAAACAAGATACCAATATATATCGCACGACGGAACAACGCAACGAGAGTATCTCCTAGACGTGAACCCGTGGATCTGGGAGCGTGAGCGCGGCGACGGCGCAAACATCATCGACGCGCGATGGATTGACACACGCAACGGTCTTTTCATAGATATAACGGGCCTGAGCGAGATATATCCCGTCGAGCATCCTGGGTGGTGGAGTTGCAAGAACTACCATATATACTTGACTGAAGAATTGTATCCGATGCGAGAGACTATGTTCGAGGGCGTCCCGGCAAAGGTGCCATACAACTACGACAAGATACTCGTAGATGAGTACAAGGAAGATGCGCTCACCGTCACGGAGTTTGAAGGGTACATTGTTTGATCTTCCGAAAAACAGTGGAGGCTAACATGCTAAACAGACATCGATGGGATGCCCAGCTGAAACAATGGGTGAAGACGCAACACACGCTCGACAAGGAAGAAGAGGAGCGTAAAAAACAAAAGGAATTAGCGAGACTCGAGGCAGAGGAGAGGGCGAAGCTGGATTAGTTGGCTAGTTGGCCGTAACGACTTGTTTCGAGTAGTAGTGTGTGTGGCTGTGTTGATATCTTAGGTAGAGCGGGTATGGCATGGTTTTGGAGTATATTTTGGTACTTTGATACCCTTTGAGGCAAACGTTTCAGTAGCGAATAGTATACCTACACTAGTCGGTCCTTTGCGTCGTTGTCGTAATGCGGGGGTCCCGATGTCCCGATGCGCTTCCAACATGCGCTATATTAGGTCCATGGGCAGAAAGGCCGGGGCGGTGTTGGTCTGGCGGATGATGGTGCTGGTCGCGTCTCTCGCTGGGTCGGGGTTTTTTGATGACAAATGTCCGATGGCATCATGCGTGGAAGCCTGGGAGAACGTCACGGAAACCACAAAAGGCTGTGGCTTAGTTGCAAGCTGCGAAGCGTTATGTCTTGATCACTACTAACCTCGAGTCACTAAATCAGAAAATAAAAATATCCAGCAGATCCCACAACTCTATCGCGACATCCATCGATCACCATGGCAGAAGCCGACGCCTCCTCTGCGCTCAACGCCAGCTCTGGCGACAGCATCGAAATCACATTCACCCACCACTCCAAACCCATCGCAATGTCCTTTCCCCAAGATGCCACAATCGCCGACCTCTCCGAGCGCGTATCAACCACCCTTTCCATTCCACCCTCCCACCAAAAGTTCCTCATAGCCGGTAAACTCGGCCTGCAAAAACCCCCATTCAAAGACCCAACCCTAGCCCTGACCTCTTTTGCCACCAAGAAAATAACACTCATGGGCAGCACACAAGAAGCTGTCGCCTCTCTCAACTCCAGCATAGCCGCGGCCACCACTCCCCGCCGCCCCGGCCCCATCAAGCCCGCCACGCCCGCCCGATCCCGCGACTCCAAGCGCCTCCAAGAAGAAGCACAGTACACATTCCACACACTTCGCCCTCTGCCCTACCTCCCGCACCCCGAGCGCTCCCTTGCCTTTCTCGAGCGCCTGCGCTCCGACGCGGGGATAAAAGCCGCAATGCGCACGCACAAATTCAGCGTCCCGTTGCTCACAGAGATGGATCCAGCTATGCACACCACACAAGATTCGCGTACGCTCGGCCTCAACCGTAACAAGGGCGAAGTGATTGAACTCAGGTTACGAACGGATGCGTACGATGGGTACCGTGACTATAAAACTATTCGCAAGACGCTGTGTCATGAGCTCGCGCATTGTGTATGGGGTCCGCATGATAGGAACTTTTGGGACTTGTGTGGGAAGATTGAGAAGGAGGTATTGAGGGATGATTGGAGGGGCGGTGGGAGGAGAGTTGGTGAGGAGGAAGTTTATGATCCTGGGGAGGATGGGGATGTGTGTGATCATGGGGGTTGGACGGGGGGTGAGTTTACGCTTGGGAGTGCGGCGGTGGGAGGAGGTAATGGGGTAAGTAGTACTACTGGAGGTGTGGGTGATGGGGGTTTGAGTCGGAGAGAGGTGCTTGCAAGGGCTGCAGAGGAGAGGATGAAGAGGACGAAGAAGGCGGAGGAAGAGACTGGAGAGTAATATCTCGTTGATTTGGCGCGTATACCCTTTGAGTCTGTTGTGCCCAATGACAGAAGAATGTAATAACTGGTCTAGTTTCATCTCTAATAGTTTCAATTCGAACCAAGATCTTCAAAGATATCCAATCCCTGAGCCAATTGCACAACTTTATGCGAAAACAAACCCTCAGTCCGCAAAACGTCGTCTCGCGGACTCGGAATCTGCGGAAAGAGCCTCACCCCCTCTTTTCCCCTCAGAGTCTTAGCGTAATGCATAGCCGATCTTACTCCGCTTGTCTGCTGCACCACTACATCTCTCGTCTTTTGTCCTTCTTCTGTATAATCTTCTCTCTGTCTTCCTTTTCACATCTTCACGAGTATCCGAGCCTTTGCATCTATCTGCGCATCACAATCCCAAGCGCTTATTCTTTTCTAGCCACACATCGTTTATTCCACATACAGAACACCCCTCACATAGCCTCGCGGTATGCAAGTATAAAAGAGAAGGAATGGAGTTCTTCACCCCCCTCCTCATTGTCATAGCATCTGCCTGGTGTGTAGTAGGGATTCTACTAGCAAAGTGGCTGAAGCAGGCGGGTCATGCGAGACCGTTCTCGGGGAGGGCGTTGAGTAGCAGAGAACTTTATGGCGGAGGGGTGGGGTTCGGTAGGGATTCTGGTGTTGGTGATAGGGGGAGAAAGAGAAGAGAGGTTAGACTTGGGGAGTTCGGTGGGGGAACAGTTAAGGGTGTTTAGGCGTGTGTGAGGACATGGTAAGGGGAAGAAGGGAATAAGAGCTGGAAGGAATATGATACACTGGACGATAAGCCAAGTGTATTATCGATAACGAGTGATTCGTTGCTATAGTTGAGTGTCGAGGTGCGTGGGTGGTCAGGCCCGTTGCCCCCCGCGCCTTTCACTGTCAACACTAACGTCGTTGCCACAATATTCTAGGCAACCGGCGAATCAGTTATTCCACCCGGAGCACAACAACTCTTTTAGTTTGCCCCTCGCTGGAATCTCCACACTTTTACCACCATCGCACTCAACTCGACATCGCCCCGATATCGACTGCTGCACCATTGCACACATTGCGATCCGACTTGCTGTCAATTCGACACAAACCACTCGACGAGTACACCATCAACTACACCGACAACATGTCCTACAACATGGGCTACTACCTGTTTACCGACCTGCACACCAAAACTGCGCCACCCATCACCATCACCGCTACTACTACAACGGCTTCAGCTACAAATGCGGGCCGCAACAACATTCATCACACCACCATCCCAACTACCGCCCCCCTTTCCCCTCTCCCAAACTCCCTTTTGCCACCATCGCCGAAACCCTAACCAGCCACCTCTTCTCTTCCACTCCGCTCCCCCTCGATCTCGCCCACTACACCCCTATCCTCCTCGCCTTCACCGCCGGCGCAGTCGTTGGAACGGGTATCTACACCTACATCCATCGCTACAAGATTAGCCGCGCCAAGGTCAAACTTGCCATCTTCCATATGGTGCATTGGTTGGAGAATCTCCCTAATATCAAGCAGCGCTTCGCCAACCCCAAGGAGCTCATCGCTTTCGTGCAGAAGGAGGTTGATGAGATGGTAAAAGAGTACGGCCAGCTGAGCAAGAGCGAAGGCAAGGAGACGGTCAAGGCTGTAAAGAGGACGATTTGGGGATATGTGGATGAGAAGATTAGAGAGAACGAGGCGAAGCGAATTAGAACAAACGAGGCAAAGCAGGAGAAGAAGAGCAAGAGGAGGAAGGTTAGAGCAAAGAGGAAGACTGAGAGGGCGGATGAGATAAAGGCTGAGATGCCCTCTTCGCCGCCTAGAGATGTCCGTGATGGAGGTGCACCAACGATGAGTCAGGCGGCCGTTGGAGAATACGCAGTTTCTTCCTCCGTTCTGGAAGATGAAGATGTGAAGATGACGGGTTACGACTCCCATACCCCTGCGCCTACGCAAGAGTCCGAACTTCCGACCATACCGAACCGCGTGTTCGAGGATCTTACCCAGATGCCGATGTCTACACTAGATCGGAATCCGTTTAATTACCCCTCAGACTCCTCTTCTCCTGAATCTATTGGAGATGTTGAGACTCTTGCACCTTCTGCGATACAGGGTAGGAGCACGTACAAGTATGCACCTTCTTCCTCTGGCTCTTTCCCAGAACGCGTTGAAGACGCTGCTATTCCTACACCGTCTACACCTGATCAGAACCCGTATAACTACCCTTCGGATCCATCTTCTCCTGAAGCTGTTGAAGAGGCTGCAACTCCTGTACTTTCGTCAGCACAAGGTCGGAGCACATACAAATACCCGTCCTCCTCACCCTCCTCACCCTCCTCCTCCGCCAAGGATTCCTTACCTCCCAACTTTGCTCGACCGTCAAACCCGACGCCCAGCCGTGGCCGAGCTCAAGTCTATGAATATGACGATACACCTCGACCTAAAACCTCCCACGGTCTATCCTACCCGGAACTGAAAGAAGAAGAAGATGATGATGATGATGATGATGATGATGATGAACAAGAAGACGAAGAAGATAACGAAGCAGACGACGGTAAAGGAAACGTCCCTGCTACTCGCCAACAAGGCACTCCAACACCCACCCGCAACCAAACCTCCTCTAACCAACGCAACCATACCCCTCGACAAAACTCCTTCAAAGGTTTCTCTAAATACCTACTCAATAACTCTATATTGCGACGTGCTCCGAAATCCACCGAATTGCTACCGTCGGTCCAACCCGCCCAAACCGAGACTTCCACAAAGGCAGTCCGCCCCACAATACAATTTCCTGCCCCCTACTCCGACACCCTTCTCTGCACACTCCCTGAGGGTATCTCACCGCAGCAGAGCCCTCCGGAGGGAACGACGCAGTACCGGGCTGCGGGTACGAAAAAGATGTACCGTGAGATTGAGCAGGGCAGGAGTCTGAGGAGGGGAATTAGGAACTTCTTCGGCATGAAGAATCCTGAGAATGAAGAAGAAGCGAAATCATCGACACCTATCGCCTCACCAGCCGCTCAGGAAGTCTAGAAAATCACAGAGGAGGTGATGGTAAAGGAAGAGGAGATAGAGGAAGCAGAACAGTACCTGTCTTCCCCCAAACCCGCCCCCTTCCTCACTTCCCAGACACCCGACAAACCTTCCCCGACCCAGCCCTCCGTGGCCAAACTCTCCCACACACCTACAACACCCCACCCCACCCTACCTCCCAAAAACACGCCATCATGCGACCCTGGCGTTGTTCAACTCCAAAAATCACCAGAGATTTCGGCATCACAGCCCGATGTCGTCGCCCCGCTCCCAGCTGCAGCATCAGCACGCCCAGGCAGAAAACCGCGAAATATATCCCGCACAACTAAGACGAACAGGAATCCAGGAGAGACGCCCGCTGGTGTGCGAAAGAGCTCTGGGATTGCTAGTAGGCAGTCATCTGTTGGGAGATCTGTCGGGAGGTAGGAGGATACATCGGTGTTTTATTCACATGGAGTGTGTACCTTGTATTTGTTGACGATGATTTGTTTTTGGGAGTTTTGCATGATACTAAGGATTGATTGGAGGACTTGTGCGTCAACTTGATGCTTGTTTATTAGTGATTGTTTTTGGATGATACAATAGAATCGATTGGGAGGAATCTTGGGTAGTTGGTGTTTGTTTCATTGGGTTCTTTTCCCATCCCAAGGCATGATGGGAGGAACACGGCTTGTACTTGATTGTCGTTAATATTGTTTGTTCTTATTTACTGCTCATTACAGTACACCTCCAATCCAAATGTAATGCTCTACACCAGGATTATCTAAGAAGCCGGTGCAGCACCTCCATAAGGTACACTCTCCACACTAACAATATCCACATACCCATACTTGCCGCCCTCCTTATCCTCCTCAAACCCCTTCGCCCAAGCCCCCATATCCTTCTGAAACGCCTCATGCATCTTCTCATCACTAAGATCAATCGGCCTCTGATCCTTGCCCAACTGCCTAATCTGCGTGCCGGCAGCCACATTCGTGGCCCCAAAGTCGTTGTCATCTGTCAACTGGTTAATCGCCGCGTGCACCTCGCCGCTGAGAATCTGACGCGGGAGCTCAGGTTCCAAGCACACGGGGCGGGCGAGACCAACGCCGTCGACGGTATTGAGGGCGTCGACCATAGCGGCAGCGGTTTTGAAACCACCGGTGACGTAGGTACGCGTTTTGGTGAGTGAGGGTGTGATACTCTCTGCGAACTCGAGGAAGAAGGCTTCGCGCTTTTTGGTGGATTCGCGCTTGTGACTGAAGGCGAGTTGTTCGTATGTTCCACCTGATAGTTCGACAAAGTCGAAGCTATTATCCTCTAGCATCTTGCACAGCGTACCTGCTTCCGCGGTGCCGAAGCCCTTATCCTGGAACTCGACGGAGTTGAGCTTGATGCTGAGGATGAAGTTGGGGGATGTGCGTTTGCGGATTTCTTGGCCGATTTCGACGATTAGACGTGCGCGGTTCTCGAGACTGCCGCCGTAGGCGTCTGTGCGGTGATTGGTGGTTGGGGAGAGGAATTGTGCGAGGAGGTAGCCATGGGCGCCGTGGAGTTGGATGCCATCATAGCCGGCTTTTTCGAGGTATTCGGCGGCGTGGGCGAAACCTTCGATGACGTTTTTGATGTCTTGCTCGGTTGCGGCGCGTGGTTTAGCGAAAGTCATACCCATGATGTTGCCTTGTAGTTGTACGTCTGAGGCGGAGATGGGTTTCTTTTGGATGGTTTCCGTGACTTGACGGCCGGGGTGGCTGACTTGGGCTACGATCAAAGAGCCGTGCTCCTTCGACGCTGTTGCGAGCTCCTTGAACATTTCAAAGCGCTCGCCCTCGTAGGGGGCTCCACGGGGGATGATGGGGTTACCGGCAGCTTCTAGGTGGTCGTACTCGATCATGACGTTGCCGGTGAGTATCACTCCAAACTCTCCCTTCCCCCAGTGCTTGTAGACATTGACGAGGTTCTTGGATGGTACACCACGAGCTTCGAGGTTCTTGGGGTCCCAGGATGAGAGGCGCTCTGTCATGGCACCCTTGAGGAATCGGTTCTGTGCGGTCTTCTTGGAGAAGACGAAGTCGAGCGGCTTGCCCAAGGGGGCAGGGTCCTTGTGTTCTGCTTCATATCTGCGTGGTTCCATAGTGAAGAAAAAATCAAAGGCTTGATGGGTATCTAGATAGAAATGAGGTGTGTACTTTGTGTTACGAAAGTCTGTTCAATGTTCTATTTGCAGTAGATGTAAACCGGATATGAGAGTGATATGCTCGTTCCTTTATTCATTGCATATTTTTAAGCGTTCTTTGGTATTTCTAATCGTTTCATAACTGCGGAGTTAAATCACGCCCCTTCCGTCCGATATTTCTTGGCTACGTCATAGAGTTGTGGACGACCAAGTCCATAGTCGGCATAAATCGGCAGATGTAGGCAAAGAGAGAAAGGTCTAGATGGACCCTCCCGGGGCTCTTAGAAGATCGAGTTAGGCTTCTTAGTGTTAAGCGTTTTATGGAGCGGAAGAATGGCTGTTAGTGGAGGTCCCCCACGTGGCATGGAGCTGTGGGAGCGTCATCGTTACAAGCGCAGACACCAAGTCGGCCCGATTATTTTGCGTGCTATCACGTGTCGCCCACACTCTAGGGAAGACGATGAACATCATGCGTTGGTTATCTGAAAATACACGTGTTCATTCATTGCAGCTATCCGGCATCATTTCATACTTGTGGAATCTCGTAGCGACTATATACCTAACACTGATAGCTCCTATGCGAGATCCTCCTGCCTGGACATCACCGGGCGGAATCAATCTTCAAAGGGAAGTTCATTCGGCTGGCATATCGTACCTACTGGCGGTAGCGTTCCACCAAGATAATCTTGGGCGTACTGCGCTGTACAATTTGAAAGAGCACTCAGCGATGAATGCCCCATCGCATCCACGACCAAAAGGGAGGAGCTAGAAAAGTGCGCCTGCATCCGACGTGCACCCGACAGCGGCGTTATCGGATCGAGTGTGTTGGATACAAAAAGAATTGGATAATCTGTGGTATTAGTCTCAGTTGTTGGGAAGTTGAACTGCTGGCTTGGTGGAGGAGTGATGTGCATATTCCGACACTCGACTGGATGAAGCCACGCCTCGCCCGTCCAGTTGCTCAAAGACTTCATCAGTTTCACGTGCTGCGAGAAGAGTTCTGGCGTGGAGAGGTTGTATCGACCACCTGCATCAGCGCACAAGACCGTTCCTCCTTCGAACGGACCATGGAAAGCGTCGGCTAGATAAGACGTCGAAACTCCGTTACGCATCTCCAATTCTAACAAATTTTGCGCGATACCAGGCCACTGTGATATTGGTCGGTACATCGCACTAAGCAGTGCAAATCTTAGGACCTCGTATGTGATGATAATTGGTCTGTTTACCGCGGAACGGTCAGTGACACCTATGGGCTCTCGTCGGATAGTTTCGATGAGGTCGCTAAGGCGCTGTTCAATCCTCTCCGGAGAGTCTGCGTAGAAGGAACAATTTTCTGGACCAGCTTTGTAGCAGTACTGGAAGAACTTCTCAACAATCTTGTCTTGATCGACAATGTTGCTCTTCAGTGTGCCTGCGTACCAGTCCGCGAGATCGACTTGGCCGTCCAGGATCAATCGCCCAACTCGATCGGGATAGAGAGAAGCAAACACGCCGCCGATGACTGTTCCATAGCTGACGCCCCAGTACCAGAGTTTTCCATCTGAGTATTCCTGTGAGAGATCGACGTATCGGAGCATGTCTTGAGCGACCGCTGATGTACTGACAAACCGAGCAATGTCATGTTGATGCGATTCTGTGCACCAATCGCCATATGCGCCAGCCAATGCCCACACCTCAGCTTCTGATTTCGGAGACTCTGAGTCGACGACAGGGATATATACTGCATCGAACTCGTTTCTGGCATCCTCATCACCTTGGAAGCAATCAATTTCCGAGCTACTATTGCCTGTTCCTCGGGGATCAAAGCTCACGATGTTATGAGCGTCTCCCAGGAAGAAACGCAATGTATCGATGTCAGAAAGGACCTCAGAAACTCCACTTGCACCGGGGCCTCCTGGGTTGAATAGTATGTCGCGGGTTCCTGCAAAAGGACTTGGCGCGGCGTGCTTTATGAAATCGACGACGGTTGTTCCTGCGCCGGCATCCGCATAGTCTAGAGGAACCTGCAGCCGGGTACAAGTGAAGTTTTCGAAACAGGGCTGCCACTTGAGGTTCGCGCTCGGCGTGATCTATCTTTGGTCAGCGCAGTGTTCTTGTTGTTCACCGAAACTTGCGTATCAGCGGAAGCTTTTACCTGACTGAAGTCTTCTATCATGGTTCCATTGCTTATTGGCGCCTGGAAAGACAATGAGACAAGCGCAAAGGCCACAAAAATTGCTGACAATGTGTTGAGAGCGAACATGGTTGGCGGCATGAGATCAACCCAGAATCTGCAGCGTATTCTGGACTGTAAGTTGATTGCCCGCAATATTTATACGCAAATGCGGGCTCGTGAGGTCACTCGCCTACGGTTTCCACGCCGCACGGCGTTCATTGATCAACTGACTAGCAAACGCCCCCGGGTGAGAGTTGTGGCGTCTGACGCCACATAAGCAGAGTGGTGGAGGTTGCCTGTTGGATCTTTCCCAATTAGGCAATGTGAGCACTACTCCCAGTAGTTCTTATGCAGAACCTATCCACTAATAGGGCTTCATTGACACATCAATCCTACACAAAAATTGGTGGCCCGGTCTTACACACCACTTCCTCGACTAGGGCTTTAAAGGAATATTCCTTTACTGGAACATCACCACACACACAGTCCAGATCAATAAACGGTGCTTATGTTATCTACTGAATGTAGGAATATCCGATATTGGGCTGCATAGAAGAGATACCCGATCAGATTCTCGAAGAGATCTTGGAATTATGTCATGGGAAATTAAACCAAAGCTATACAAGGATAACAGGACACCGCTGCTCAAAGAGTAAGTTTAACAAATGGTTGCTCCACAGTGCAGTTAATATCAGTGGGCGCCTTTTCGGTTTTGGGAAACAACATTGTTGGGGTGGGCCGGCCATCGAGTTGTTTCACAACACAATTGAAGACGAGTCCCGGGAATTTGGATCAATACTGATAGTTTTGCTTTTTCTTGGCTTATATGTTGGTTGAGCAAGCCATGGGCCTCGCAGCTAGTAATCCGACAGCCCGATGTGGTAGAGTTTAATCTTGCTAGTAGTGTATGGATCCCCGTGCAGGGATAGAACAAACACATTGTCGGCGACAACGAAGGCTACGGATGGTTTTTGCTCTTGGCCGCGCTCAGCATAACCTCTGATTCACCAAAAGTGCAGTCAAAATCGCCTAGATGAACATGCTGGCGTGGAGCTAGTCTAAGAGTTGCTTGTAGAGCCCGAAATGGTGAAGTATTCCCAACGACGCCGCGATGATAGATCGAATCCAACAGCACCAACCACGACGTCTCGCTGTTGTCACTGAGAATGGTTCGACATTGTAGGCGATGCAAACGCCTCTAGCGTTGCAGCGACGAGCGGTTAGAACAATAACTTTACAATCGTACGTACTAGTTGTTTCCTGTGTGAGATAGAGAATTGAATGTGAGTAAAACTGCTGTCGGCCGGGCAAGCCAGTCTCCATGCATTCACTTCTCACCAGTTATCTCTCCTCTTATAGGACTAGCTCCTTCTGCTTAAGGGCTAGCCTCCTCTAGGCAGCACCCCGCACCATATAGCTAGCACTTCACTGTTCTCAATACAACAACGATTTCGCCCACTCAGTTCCCCGATAACTGCTACGTAGATCTTGAGACTGCATTTGGAAACGAGGCAACTAGCTTTTACTCACGCTCTGATAGAAAATTAAGCCTTGGTTTGCGCTTCCCCACGTCAATCACATGTGACAGCGCATCGAATATGTACGCAGATGCCAACCACATGAGCACACATTCATGATAAAAATGGAAACGCAACTATGGCTCGCAGCCGCTTGCCACGAAGACTCTAGCGTTGTGATTAGACTGTGCCGCACACATGATGCTTTCGGCGCTGGCACACCTCGTAAGCTTGCTGCCACGTAGTCGTAGAAAAACTCTATAAGTGTCCACAGATTAGAAGAAAGCTTGAGCAAAATCAGATCAATTGCGAACCTTTCTGAAATACCAGACAAAATGGATCTCGAGCGATGTAGCGTGATAACCAACCTTCAGTACGACCGCATTCGCCAAATACAGGCAGCAGGCAACTTCCACCAGGCGATATGGCTTTTGCGGCACAAAGTATCCGGTAAAATCGCGATGCGCAAAGAGTTCTCTGCAGATGATGTTCGATCAGGCTTTGCTACGCGTGAGATTAACAATCTCAGGTGTTTAAGCTCCTGCTACAATATTTGCACCTATCGCGAACACGAACTAAGCCTGGCGCGAGGTACAGGTGCACTTGTGATGGACGTCTACGAATATGGCGACCTATGGGGGTTGTTGGAAAGGCACATCGCGCAGCGCAGAGTATTCCCTGAACCCTTTATTTGGCATGTGCTCAGGTCATTAGGAGCGGCATTGCTGTACATGCAAAGAGGCAGCCCAGTAGCCATGCACACTAATTTTGACTGGATAATCCATGGAGATCTTTACCCTCGCAATATCTTCCTCGGCCCGCCTGCCAGCCATCATCCTTCGTGGCCTCGTGTAGTTATTAGGGATTTTGGCTCGAGCGTCTCTAGGACCGGCTTCCGTCCAGGTTTCGAGCTTCGACAGCAACAGGATTTCAGTCCGCCCGAGCAGCTCACGACGCGAAGTGACATATACCAACTCGGCTTGGTCATTGTTGCGCTATGCAGATTGACGAGAAATCCCAAGATCTACTGGGGACGCTTCCAGGGGGCTTGGAAACCAGCCGGCGAAGGATATACAGCAGGATTGAACAACGTGTTGAGAAAGTGTTTAGTAGCTAATTTTGTCGATCGGATCTCTACTTTGGGACTAATTCAATTGGTGAATACCAGTTTCGTTGATGGGGGCTCGATGCATCAATTGCTAATGGGAGAGCGAATGTATCAAAGCTAGAAATCAGGAAAGGATGGTGGAGAAGGTTAGATGTCTACCTGCCGCGCCAGTAGGTATGCGTGGGGACCAGTGGCCCCTTCCTCACGACGCGGAGCTTGATAACCACCTCGCCAACGTTTTATCAGCATAATCTTTATCATGCGTCGAAAAAAGCAGTCATGATAGACAGTTAGACTTTAGCAGAGGTAATAAGTCAATTGAGTCATGATACATAGTCGGGACCCATGTCTTCCTCGCCTGTCCCATTCGTGAAGATTATGCCTCTACATCCTCTGTCACGCGCAACGATTTCCTGGATTTCTAAAGGCAGTTTACTCAATATGGAAACATTTATCATTTGCTGTCTGGATACGATAGCTCTTCATGCTTACATTGAATCACTGCTCTGGGTGTCCGAACAGACCTGTTAGTGGGGAGATCAGATCGCGGTGTTTCTCTTATCCTGTCAATTCTTGTATCCACCGAGGTGTCTCACTCTCCAGTTCTACTCTCTAACCTAATCCCAACCTTTGAGATACGCAGAAACATATGCTACGCCGAGTTATGCATCTTGTTTCAAACCTACCTGTGCCGCTGTAGCTTTAGGCTACGAGGTATCACCTGGATTGTAGGGGTCCACAGTCTAAACGAATTGGGACAAGAACTATTATAATGCTGAACAGCAGTGGAGCTCAGCTTCACCTTGATCTGCCTTCACATCGCGTCAGTGCAAATCCAGGTCAAACGTTCGCCGGCTCTGCCTAAGGTCATTTCTGACTGCGACAAGCGACCTCCAAACCGTGAATACTCTCCATCGACCTCGATCTTATCGCCAAATATCTACGATGTTTGCCGAGCTTCAGAATGCCTGCGCCGTTTGCGGTAAACCAGCCCACAGCACGTGTACCGGATGCAAGACAGACAGTATATCACGTCATTACTGCGGAGCAACGTGCCAGAAAATGGATTGGCCGACGCATAAGACTGTGTGCAAAGCTGCCCAAGATAACCGCTTACAGAGTTGTCTTGCACATGTAGCCGATATCGTTCAGTACGCATACTACGAGTTCCGGGAAAATACATGGGAGACGCCGATTATCAAGATCGAAGATCGAGATGGCGCCTTGGTCATAACTGATGGCGTTATGTTGGACAAGACCAAGTACTTCATCAGCTTTCCCCACCATCTGGTGACCAGTGAGCGAACCAAAGCTGCGATGCTGTGCGCTTGGATGTGCAATGAGCCCCTTGCCTTCATGCACGACCTGCTCACTGATCTCCTCAAGGGTAAGTAAATTAAAAGCCTCTTATTCAAACATACTAACTTTAGCTCAAAGGACTAGAGATCCGAGTGGAAGAAGTTTGTTTGGGCCTTGGACGCATCCTGCGCAAGATCACCTACCACAGCCCGCATGGCGGTTCCGACGATAATTGGCCGAACTACTTTCACGAAGCTCTCCGTAGCACCTCTTTGAGCAGCAAGAAGCAATGGGCCATTGACGTCAGCGGCGCTCAGTATGGTATCACAACGGCATTTTGGACTTGGGAAGCTTACGTTAACGCATACAATGTGACTGTTAAGAGAACCCAGGCGTTTAGATACACCAAGACCATGATCAACGATCTAAGCAGAATCAGAGGCAACCCTTCGATGTCGTATGGCGTGGTTGGGGTCGTGGCGGAGAAGATGAACGAAGCCTCCAAGAAGTGGGCAACTGATCGCAATATCAGCCTGTCTGATCTACTCAATATGGTAGAAGACGACTTTCGCCAAACCAAAAACGAACTTCTACAAACTTTGAGCGACGCTGTTCGAGATTTCCTAAGAGCACATAAGTTCGATAAGGAATTCCAGGCCGCGAAGACATATGAGTACAAGAACCCGGGCTTGAGCGCAAGGCGATGCATGGAGGCCAGCGCAAAGTATTGAGATGCTCACCAAGACAATGGCATCCTCAAAATCGGTGAAATTTTTTACTAGCACAATATGGCTTTGGAAGAGCAAGGGAAGTAAAGTCTCAACGGGGTCTGAGACGGTCTTGGATCTTTTACGGGAACATACGAGTATTTTATCAAGTTTGTGGTTGATAGCTCCCTGTTTGAACTGAACACACGAATGAAATTTCTTCTTTGAGTTTACGTTCCTGCTGGTGTCTTTAGACCATAGAGCTCTGAATTCGCGCTAATTGACGCTCACGATAAGAGTAGTAATACGCAGATGCTCAAAACAAATACTATCCCTCTTACAGCCAAGCATTGTGAGCAAATACGCTAAACGCCTGTGTAATTGATGAACCTCACAACTTACGAGCGCGTTTCTTATCTACCCACAGCGCATACCAATCTTGGTCCAAGACAGTGTCCAATGAATTGAACTCAACGTTCGCAAACCCACGATGCAGCGAAACAAGAGGCTCTTGCCTCACCGCTGAAGTAACCAAAGTAACCAAGTCCAAGTTTTTGGCTTGATTCCTTGCTTGCGCCTTGCGGGGCCTCAGCTTGCGCTGGCACCGCTCCTTCATTGTAACGCGTAATAGATGATACGACGCATCACTGGCAATCTGCCACGCAACAAGACGATCTAGAATTCTACCCTTTTTACCGTACGTACCCGTACTAATCACAGCACAGATCTTCTCGATATGTTTTTCCTTGATGAAAGCCTCGTCAAAATGTAGAATCTCGTTGCGACACATCACTGCGTAGATGCAGGATACAGCCATGCGACGCCAGAACTTTGCTATGAACTCGAAGGTGAAGATACCGCGCTTTGTCGGCCATAGGGCTTATCCCTTGGCTCCTCCTTAGGCAACCAGGCAGCCACCATTTACCCGCTAGTACCTTTACGGCCTAGCTCCTTCACTCCCTCTTCCCACTGCGTATACAGACCTCTTCCGGACACAGCTATAATACAAAATGATTCTCCCCAACCTTGACGCTTGACACGCTTCAGTATTGTGCACCAGAGTTTAAGTGCAAGGTGTGTTAAGATTTCTTCTTTGCCGCGGAACTCATGACGGATCGTCGGGAAGAGTGGCATGAAGCTTGCGATTGCTTTGCGACCGTTGAAGTCGATTAGCTCCTTCTCCACGAGCGCGAGAAGATCTTCGAGACCTTCAATTGACGCAAAGAGATATATTGCCATTTCGTTTAGCAACCCGCGTTCCCCAGCCTTTGCCTTGACAGCACTGTAGAGAAAAGCTGTTGCGAGTCGTCTGTACGGGACATTTACCCACCGGTGTTGGTGATCGACACAGAAAATGAAATTATCCTTGATTTGCCCGATTGTACGAGGTATACAGCCAAGATCATCAGCAGTCTGTTCTAGATCTTTCAGAAGGACATTCAGGCGTTTTTGAGCGTTCCGTCGGAGTATCGCAATATCCCTGGCTGTTTTAGGGATGACAGCTTTCTGTAACGGCTCCTGTATAGCCGCGATGTTGTACTCTCGAGCGCGCAGCATCATTGGGATGTGAGACTGATCGAATGCAAGAAAATCAGGTAGGATGAGCTCTATGAAACGAGAGCTACGGTAGGGGATTCGACCGGACTCTATCATTCTTTGACGCTCGCAGAGAATGCATATGAATGGTGCGAAGCTCTCAATGGGTTTGGTACAGTTGCGTTGATTGTTGATGTTGATTATGGTTTAACGCCCTATCTGTAACCTCCCATAGGGTATTCGGGCGGGTCCCGCCGTGGTCTTATAGTGCTGTCGCACTTGCCTCGTGGAACCTATTCCTAGGTGTTTTGTATCTAAGGGGAGTGATGTCCTGCCTATATACATGTTCGTGAAAAGGACTCCCGCCATTTGAAGCCGTTTTCCTACAATATTCTAGTATTTCGTGGCTTGCGCCTTTGATCGATGCAGTACAATGACTGCTTTTTAGAGAGAGAAACGAAAAAGTAACAAGAGGCAATTTAAGATACAATGAAAGTTTTGAAAGAGAGCGTGTGGGTTGTGGCATCTATGCGGCGTTTTGCCGCGAATCCTACACTGAATAATGCCAAGGAATTCAGCGGGTCTTTGTGAAATTCAAAAATAGAAATCACTCGTCATAGAAGGAGTTCGTTACCTTCACGAAGGTCTCGAACTCTTGTGGCTGGTCTATTAATTGCGCGAGGTACGCTAGGCCTTCCTGTCTTGTGCGAGGGGGCACGATGGGGCGTAGAGGCCACTTCTTGAAGTGTGTTGTGGCTCTCTTGCAGAACACTAGGTGTTCTGGCGTCTTGGGCCTGCCGCATAGGCATTTCGAGGTATCCTCGTGGTTGAATTTTCGGTGGTACCATTCAAAGTCGCCGTGCGTTGAGCGTATCATAAGGACTTTCGCGAGTATCCTTCGGGGTAGCCATAGCGCTGCGGGCGTGCGCCTAGTATCGTATGGCAGCTGCCATTGCGTGTACCATGCTGATAGCCTACTGCTCTTATCCTTCCACCAAGTGTCCCTTGTATGTTCGAGGAGGCGGCGGCCTACTGTTCGTATACCGGATCTTGTGGGGGAGGTGGCCATGCCGTATGGCTGGTGCGGGTCTTTGGCCTCGTTGTCAGCCAGCTGGTCGGCGAGCTCGTTTCCAACAATCTTCATGTGTCCCGGCGCCCACCGCGTTTTCACGTTGTAGGCCTCCATAGCTCCATGGATTTGGAGGAACGCCCATTGGGAGGAGGTAGGGGCGGTTCCGCGTATGCCCCATATTACCGCAGTGCTGTCTATGCAAAGTACGATCTCCCTCTGGCTAGGCAGTGAGAGTTGTAGTGCGTGTTTGAGTCCTCTGCACGCGCCTATAGCCTCCGCATCGAAGACGTGGCTAAGGGCATTTAGTGAGCCTTGTCCAGTCGCCACGGCGGCCTGGCCCTGGTATATAGCGTACCCGTAAGTGACCACCCTTGTACCGTTGATTTGTTGTTCAGACCCGTCTGAGAAGACAGTGATTGTCTCTTGTCCAAGAGACTCCCACCAGATGGTGAAATTCTGGGCAGCAATGTCCTTTCCTTGCCCTTGCGTTGGATCCTGCCTCGACCCGTCTGAAAAGTGAGGGCTGGCTAGGACGTTTCGGGGTGTGGCGGGTAGCAGTTGTGCTACGCGCTGAACCTTCGATCTTGGTATCCGTCGGTTGCCCGCTGCGCGTCCTCGTATGACTAGTGGCAGTGTAGTTCTATTAGTAAGTGGGTGCTTGTCGTCTATCGTGCGTAGGTGAACTGCAAAGCGGAGCTTGGCCTCCTCTAGCGCCACCTGTGCCGACGGCATCGCAGCTTCTCTTAGCAGTACTGCGTTTGGTGTTGTCCTCCACGCAGGGAGGATTGCCTTCGTGGCTGCTATTAGTGCCTGATCTATCGTGGTTAGGTGCCAGCCTACCCTAGTGCTGACCGTGGGTTTACGGGAAACCCTTGCAATTCGTGGGTTCTTCGTCCTGCCCTCGTACCATGTTTCGGCTCCGTATAGTAGTATGGGCAGGATACATGTTATGGCTGCCTTGCGTAGCGATCCTGCTGGAGGGCCGTGGGCTGTGTTGGCGAGGCTCCGGAGATGGTTCGCTACTTTCCTAGCTTGCGCCGCCCTTTCTGCGACGTGCTTCTTGAAAGTTAGTCCCCTATCAAACCACACCCCAAGCCAGCGCAGCGCAGTCTGGCTTCCCCCCTGCGCAGGGGCTATAGGGTGAATTGTTTGATCTTCCAATTGGATTGGCGGCGCATGTAGTCCTTTCTGGCGCGTGAGGTGGATCAGCTCCCGTTTCTCTGGTGCAAACGTGATCTTGTTCGCAGCTCCCCATTCATTGATAGATTTGAGGTCCTCTGCTAGCAGTGCGACGTTCTCGTCTAAAGAGTGGGAGACCCGGTATAGGTTGATGTCGTCGGCATACCCGAACCGGAGTTTTCGGTCCTGGTTGAGTAGTTCAGCTAGGTATAGGGTGTATAGGGACCGGGTGATAGCGGCGATCCCTGCGGGGTGCCGCAGGCCACTCGATGTACAGGTGTAGTGACATTGCCTAGGCGTACTCGCACCCTCCTTTCCGACAGGAAGTTCTGGATAAATTTCCGGAGTAGGGGTGGCCACCCTTGTTGCCGCATTCCGGTGTAGTAGCCTGTTTTTCAGTAGCGCGTCAAACGCCCTTGGACGTCTAACGTGAGCATAGAGACATGCTCGTGTCTTGACCAAGCCATCTCCACGTCGTGTGTGAATGCGGTCGCCAGGTCCATCGCAGAGCGTTTTGGCAGCGCTCCACCGTGCTGTGGGCTTAGGATGTCAAAAGCCATAGCTGTGTGTGCTATGCGCCTTGCTATGATACGCTCGAGTCCCTTCCCTAGACAGGACGATAGGGCAATTGGTCTCATTGATCTGGGTGAGGACTTATCCTTCTTCCCGACTTTGGGTATCATGGCCACTTCTACCGTCTTCCAGGCGGCTGGGTAGTGGCCTTGTTCCATGCACGCCCGGTAGATGCCTAGCACTAGGTGTCTAATGTGTTCCCAGCATGCCTTTAGGAGTCGGACGGTCACCTGATCGGGTCCTGGGGAGGTGCTAGATACTCCAATCACGTAGCGTTCAGTCTCCTCCATCGATATGTATGTGTCCCATGGTAGTGGCGTGGTTTGCGGGTCGTTGTCAAGAGGCGGTGGTTCTAGGAGGTCGTCCTCCGCCGAAAAACGGTCGAGGATTGCCTCTCTAAGTGCCTCAGCTTTCTCGAGTGGTGCTGTGATTGTCCTACCTTCGATTACAAGTGGGGTGTCCCGTTGGTCGAATGATAGTTTATGCCAGCCTACTAGCTTGTATAGATCTTTGTCGTTATTACAGCCGTCTATGCGCTGCTGCCAGTACGTTCTCTTGGCTTTTCGTACCGTAGCTAGGAACGCACGGGTGGCTTCTGAGGGGGATTGGCCATAGTCCGACTTTTCCTGGATATGCCGCTTATACGCCACTCTACAGTCCTCTGTCCACCATGGGGCGGAGTGGCCTTTTTCTCTATTTGGTGTTCCCGCCGCGTGCATTGCATCTCCTATAGCTTGGGTGATTCTAGCTATGCTTGCGTCGATTACGTCCGCTGGGGCGCTATTGCTAATTGGCTGTACGCCTACTGTGTAGAGTTGAACTAGCCCGGCAAACCTATCTATGTTTCTCTCGTGGACCCGGTAGTGATGCTGTTCTAGCACCGCTCTCCCTCGGCTTGGAAGGACAGTCACTAGGGTGAAATGGTCTGACCCTGTATACATATCTTCGCGGACTGTCGTTCTAGCGAAGGGTATATTTGAGAAGGATACGTCTAGCACGTGTCCCGCCCGATGTGTTGGGTTACCTGCCTCGCCGATGTAGGGTATGTCGTTCTGAGTGGCCCAGCGGGCGATCTCTGCCCCCCTATTGGCCGACGTGGAGCCGGGCTCAAAAAGTTCATGGCGGGCGTTTAAGTCACCCCCTATAAGGCAGTTACGGGGTGGCGTTAAAGCTGTGAGGTATTGAAATGTCGAGTCATTCTGTGGCTGCCTATAAACATTCAATATGCGGTAGCCGTTGGCCTCGATCCATAGCACATCCCGGCTGATGCGTGGGTGTATAAGAGTAGCTGTCGGATCGTGAGTATCGGTAGAGACGTCGGCTGCTGGACACTTCGGCCCGACTTCGGCCCACCTTGCGCAGAGCTTAGGTATACCTTCGTAGCAGCTGTGTTCGTAATAAATCAATCACCATCACCGAACAGAATGCATTCCTAGTTATCGTTATTTCCTTTCAGCACTAGTGCTATAGACCTTCCAACAGTAGCCCTTATATTTGGGCTCTTACGGGTATAGGTGAGCACCCGTGGTCGGTCAGTTCCCCACGTTGTGGGGTTGTTCCAGCTTATCACTGGCGATATCATATGGAATCCTGGGTGTGTAGAGGTCCGGGTTCCAGTGAGAGTAAAGGGTTCTTGGATGCATACTATGTCTATGTCTGCTTCCCATGCACGTTCTAAGGCTGTAATGTGGCAAGGCGAGCTTCTGGCCACATTCACCCAGCATACCTGCATTTGTCTGTGTCGGTGTGGCGTGGTTTCGCCGGGTGAATTTGCGGGTTGTGCCCTCATTACGCACTAGATCCGAGGCTCATTTCAGTGTCAGCGTGCTCAGACGATGACGTATTAGGGTCTTGGTCAGCGGTGCTAGGCTGCACGCTTCTAGCAGACATTCGCGCTAGGTTGAGGTCTTGCGTAGTTGCAGCTGTTCTCTTAGACCTCCTAGTCCCTAGGGTGGTTGCGGGCTCTCTAACAGTGGCTGTGTTTAGGTTGTTTACGTCTTGTCGGCTTCTTTTACTTGCGTCCGTAGGTGTTCCCACAGGCTCAGTAGTATTAGCTATGTCGCCGTCCGTGATTTCAATGGAGGTTTCGACCGTGCTGCCTGTCTGTCTTCCTCTAGCTGGCTGCATTGCCTCAGAAGCACGGTCACCCGCCTCCCTAATGACTTTTAGTTCCCCCTTTGTGGGTTGGATGAGTCGGCCGTTCGCCCTCGTTGGGGCTGCTGGGCACTTGTCGTGGGTTGCTGGAAATGGGCCGTGGCAGTTGGCGCACTTTGGTGTGTCTTTGCATTGTTCTCCGTGTGGTCCCTGGTGAGTTGCCGTTGTTTTGCTGCATGTCGTGCAGCGGGCTGGCCTTGTGCAGCGGCTGGTTTTGCAGTACCCTAGGCAGCCTGGGTCGTGCAGCATTGCAGGTGAGTTCTTCTTTATCTCGTGCGCGTAGTCGCCCGTCCCAAATAGGCGAAACGATCGTACGGGTCTGGTGAAAGATATAATCCAGGTTGTCCTTCCCTCCGTGGGTCCATGTCTGGAGGGCCGGCAGCTCGCCGGTTCGATCCCTGTCTGGGACAGAGCTTCGCTGACTATATCGTCTATTGTGGTGGGTATACTTTCCCCTGTGATAGTGCGGTATGAGCTTTCTACGCCCTGGACTGCATAGTTCACCCATCGTTCAGGTAGTCTTGCGCTCTCGCCCTCTACCGCTCGGATCATGAGTTCGCGATTCTCCTGCCCCATAAGCAGGGCCTTGATTTTGTCGTTGCGGGGCGTAATCGCCCAGCCAGTCTTGATATGTTTTGCCGTAGGTATGTCGGAGGGGGTAATTTCCTTAATCGCCTTTACAATAGCCATGCGGGCCGCAAATGGTGATGCCCGTTGGAGCCGAGCCTCCGCTCCAACCGCTATAAGGATACGGTTGTCAGTGTTTAGAGGTCGCCTAGGAGTTTGAGCTAGCTGCTTTGGGGCAGCCGTGGCCGCTTTCGTCGTAGCGGCCCCCCTTGCTGGGGGGGTTGGATTTTTCAGGGTCCTAGCTACGTCCGCCCAGGAGCGGTGCGTAGTGTCAGAGTCGCTCCCTGAGTTTGGGGGCGTGATTAGGGGCGTGATTAGGGAGGTGTTAATAGCCCTTAGCACCTTCTGTTGAAGGTCCTTAGCCACACGGGCTCCGTCTGGGTCGGTGTACTTCCCAAGGCATCTGTCGACAGCTGTCGCTAGATCCGTTATGATGGAGTGGTGGAGGTTTGTAGCTTTTTGGGCTGCCTGAATCCGCTGGCGGACCGCTTCAGAGACAGCTTGATTGTAGGAGGTGGGCGCAGTGCTACCGATAGAAGGTTCAGCACGAGTATGTGCTCGCTGCCTCCTCTTGTTGCCGCGCAGGTCAGTATTAATAGGGCTCTCAGGCTCCTCTGATCGTGTATGGGGGGGTTGGGCACTCCGTGGCGCCCTCTCTGGAGTTTCTACATTAGCCATTCTAACCACCTCCGCGAGAGCAGAAAGCGGTTATTTAGCTGAGGTAGTTACAGGCCGCCGTGCCGTTAAAATGATGTAAAAATCGTATAATTTTATAAGGGTCCCAAATTCCTTAAAAGTTGGTGTTCGGTGTGGTACAGTTGCGTCCGCACATGGATGGCTTCTCAGTGTAAATAGTATGACTGCATGCGAGATAATGCAAGCGAGAGCAATGTTACCAGCATGGCTTCGTGTTTTTCTCGGAGTTGATGGATATGGTGGTGCCTTCTAGTGATCCGACATGGTCGACCAGCATCTTCTCGTACTCTTGAACGGAGCGGCGCTGTATTTTCGAGTGTTCCATGTTGTATAGTTGGTGTGACACTAAAACAATCGTTTCCTAAATTTGGAGATCGTGGTTGGTACTCAAGTTCAAATGGCTGGAAGCAGAAGCAGTGTTCAACAGATAACAAAGTTGGGGCGATCCGTAGAAGTAAGTGAACAGTGTTGATACTGTTAAGCAAAGAGTCACGGGGGCTGACCGGACGGTTCTAGTGGAGACCAAAACATCAGGTGAAGGGATATTTGATATAGCTTCCAATCAATTCAGGTGAACTATGGTAATCCAGTATACTAGGCCAAGGATGGCAACCAAGTGGATTTTAGTCTACACTCGCACTTAGGGCGCAGTACAAGCTGGCACGCAGCCAGCAATACACAGAACTTGATGAAGGCAGTATCTTGCTCGCCTGAATCTAATTCTCTAGAGATTGTCGTGTGGTTGAAATCGGACAAGACGTGCAGCTGAAAAGGAAACTCTCTCTTACCTTTTGAACATGAGGTATACCATTGAATTTACCTTTATACTGGACGCAGCGGCAAAAATGAAAATTAGAAAAAACTCGCACTGCTATCACGTGTAGAAGCTAATCATAGAAGCCTTGGTTTCGAGTGAATCTCAACTTTGGTTCACAACAAAGTTGCAAGATAGCTACCAAACTACAATGCATCATCTGCCGCACAGACAAAGTCACATCGCTTTGAAAATATCAGGAAAGTATGGGATTCAATGCCAATAAGAATTCAGTAAGCTAACGCTCTTGTCCAGCATAGAATGTAGATTGCACAACTTGATCTGCGTAGCAATTTCTCAAAAAATCCTACATTCTAATTCTACTCTTTCCACTCATGCGATGCCTGAGTTTCCCGATAATATTCAATGACTAACGTACGGAAGTTTTCCATATCTGTTTGTAGCACACTTACACCATGAATACTACTTGACTCACATATCTCGTAAAATCATGTGTGAAAAGTCACAAACACAAACGTAGTCGCAAATGCCACCGAAAGTACCTCTTTCCACAATGAGCATAACATTATCCTCATCTTAAGAACATCCCATGTAATAACCACACTCACCACACCTCTCACCGCCCGATACCGTCAGAGTGACACTATCATTTCCAAACACGCCCTACGTATACTTACTATCACGCCCATCCCAAACTAGCAATCCGACCCGTCGCTACCCATCCACGCAGCGTGCACGGCGTTTGTGGCGTTTAGCGCGAGTGGGGAATCGTCGCTTGGACCAACTTTTGCGGGGATAGCAACGGGTCAAGGCCTCGCAGCTCGGGCCGGTCCAACAACGCTCTATCAGCGCGGCTTAGATAAACAGCCACAAACGACTGACTATAAGACCTCCGACACCGCTTGTTACATAAATACCATTTTTTGGAGGTGAAAATATTCTTGTCTGGCTTCTGGATATTTACCTTGGGTGTGAGACGTGTCTCTTCTTCGATTACACCCCGCATTCTTGTGCCCCGCAGTACCACTGCGACTTCGACATCAGCTTTTTGTGCTTGAGGACGAGTGGTGTGGGTAAGGTAAAATATGGCGTCTTTCTTGAGGACAGCTGGGCGCGTGAGGACGGCAGTTCCGCACTGTAGTGTGGGTATTACTTCTCGGGCGCCGATTGTGGCTCGCCAGAGACGACATGCTTCTGCGGCAGCGGCCGCCGTTGCAGACAACGGAGAGCAGCCTTTCTTCCCCGACGAGCCCAGATTGCCTATTGTGAACACGGAGATTCCTGGTCCGAACAGCAGAAGAGAAATCAAGAGGCTGAGCAAGGTTTTTGATACAAGAAGCTTGAATATGATGGCGGATTACTCACAGAGTTATGGAAATTAGTATGTTTTTGTCAAGTTTTCAGACGTGTATATGAATTCGGACTAACGATTTGTAGCATTGCGGATCTTGACGGCAACGTACTTCTGGATGTATACGCACAAATTGCATCTATCCCCGTAGGCTACAACAACCCATCCCTCCTGCTCGCCGCCACCTCCCCCGAGATGGCGTCCGCCATCATCAACCGCCCAGCCCTCGGGAAACTTCCCGCAGCACGACTGGGCCGAGATCCTAGAAACTGGTGTCTTAACCGTCGCCCCCAAAGGCCTCAATCAAGTCTTCACAGCAC